TTCACAAACAGGAAGGAGAGGAGAGGAAAGGCCTCTGTCTAATAATTCGTATCTAAAGCTACTTTAAAAGAGCTACAAGGCCAGGCTTGGTGGGGCACACCTATAATCCCAGCTCCTTGGGAGGCTGAGGCAGGAGGATCCAAAGTTCAAGATCATATTGGGCAACTTAGCCCAACTTGTCTCAAAATAAGAAATAAAAAGGGGTGACAGGGTGCGCAGTGGTCTGGTACCCGGATTTGATTCCCAGAACTGCTCAAAAAACAACACAGTACGCTAGTGAACAGGAGTTCCTGGACGGGAGGCTGTGGGGTCAGAAACACTCACGGCCGCCACACTGCTTTGAAAACTCAGTGCACGTCAGCCAGAAGGCCCTCAGGCCCGACCCCAGGACTGCACACGCCAGCTCTGTCCCGGAAGCAGCCTGAGCAGCCAGGGGTCCTGAAGACACCCGGCCCAGGAAATGGCCCGCCTGGGAGTGCGATCGCGCTCGTGAGCTGATTTAAATATTATTTCTGGGGCGGCCTGGTACATGTGATGTATTTTAAGACACTTCTGGAAAGGGCTCCCCCAACTCCATGAGGGGTCTACAATGACCCCCTGATAGCAACAACAGAGTCCCATTCTGAAATGGGCAAAGACCTGAGCTGTTTCCCCCATGAAGACGTGCACACGCCAGTGGCCCCACGAGGCACTGGGGAAATGCAGACCACGCCCCAGGGAGGACCGCGGGATCCGGGAGGACGGAGACTCAGCCCCCAGGACAGCAACAAGCAGGTACAGAGAACACCTGCCTGACCATCAGCCCTGGCTCAGGGTGCCTGGAGGGGTCACGTCAGGGTGAGAAAGTGGGTGTCACCAGGGCCTGGAGGACAGGGAGATGGCCCTCCTGCGGCCAGAGTTCAGGGTCACCAGGTGCAACCAGGGCAGCGGTGGGTGCGGGCTGTGGGAAGGTCTTCAGTGAGCCCACGCAAGTGCCCACTTCGGATGGCCAGGACAGCAAGCTCTGTGCTGGGTATTCCGACCACAATAAAGCACAATGAATTCACAGACCTCATTTCTTTTTTTTTGTTAATTTCTTTTTAAATTTTTTTTTTCAGACCTCTTTTCTTTGTGCTCTTTGCCTCGACCCACGCGGCTCCTGAGGTTCTGGGGGCGAAGGATGTGGGAGGAGCAGAGAAATAAGAAGAGACGAAGCTGGGGTCAGGTGGGGCCCTCCTCCTGATGGGAGGAAGGTCCTGGCCTGTCACTGCAGGGGCGCTTATTTATACCTTTTGGCAACTTAATGTCACGGGACACCCTGCTGTCCTAGCAGCCCACCGTTCCCACTGTCTCGGGGCCAGGTGTTCCCTGGGCTGACGCAGCTTCCTCTGGTCCTGGGCGCTCTTTGTTCTTGGGATGGTTGAGCCCCAGCTTTGCACGTGTGGCCAACCTCCAGCGTCAGCGGCTCCAACACTTCTGTCTCTTTTTCAGTGCTTGAAGCCAGGGCCTGGCACATCTTCTTTGAAAAGACAAGGTCTTGCTGTGTGGTCAGGCTGGCCTTGAACTCCCAGGTTTGAGCCGCCTTCTGTCTCGGCCTCAGGACTGGCTGGACCACAAGCACAGGCCGGTTAACAAGTAACTTCGCCTGGTTACTTTTCCTTGCTTGGGGAGAAACAGTTACCCACGCCACAGTTCAGCTGGGCGGTGCATACTTGTTAAACTGTCACATTAACAAAGTCCAACTGACACAGGCAGGTTTCCAAGCCAGCGAAGTTTTGAAAAAAAAATTAATTTGTAAAACAAGGTACACAGTAATAACTCCCATCATCTGTTTAAAAATAACTTTTGAAACTACTGAGTTCAGCCTATGTAGGTACAAAACAGGATCCCTCGGGCAGGTGTGGGTTTGTACCATGACACACTTGTAAATTTGTGGGCAAGAAACCAGCCCTGGGAGCCCAAAGCCCACTGCCCAGGACGGGGAGGGGGACCCAGCAGGCAGGGCAGGAAGGTCCTCCCGAGTCTTGCTTGATGTGTCCTGCACTGCCTGCGTCGTCTCCTAGCAGCGGGCAGTGCCGCTGTATAATGCCATCTTTGAACAAGTCTTTCCAGGCCCAGGTGACACTGAAGCTGACCCTCCTGACTAATGGCACAGTATGAGCCGCCACCCGGGATAACTGGCTGTGGTCTAAGTGCCCGAGTGGCCGTCCTTCCCGGGGACCTCCTCCCGCCTGGGAGCTTTGGGTGTATTCCCGATTTGCTGCCACAGCGGAAACCAAGTGCAACACGGCGAGGACCCCGGTTATCGCCACCACATCCTGCCTGCTGCATCCCGCAGGGTCTGCAGCACAGGCTCCTGGAGCCGCCCTCCGTCCCCAGACCTGGTCACCTGGCACTGCCAGCAGCGGAGAAGTCATGCTAGGCCTCAGCCCTGCATGGGCGTCGGAGGACTGATGACGGGGCCACAGCCTGCCTGGGGCTCAGGAAAGCCCTGCTCCGTGCCAAGCAGGTGTGGCCTTGGGATGCAGCCGCTGCCCAAGGGGTGTCCTCCAACTGTCCCTCTGCCTCCTGAGACCACCAGCTTTCCTTTCTGCTGTCCTTTTAATCCCAGGGCTCTGCAGCAGCTCAAAGGCAGGAACTGCTGCTTGGCTCTGGGAGCTGGGCCCGCAGCAGGTGGCCGTGAGGGGACACAGCAGCTCTGGATCCTGCTCGCCAGGACTTGCTGGGGAGCCTAACCGGCCCCTGTGAGCTCAGGTAGTGAGGGTGACGTGAGTGGGGGTAGGATGGCAATGCTGCTGAGGTCGGGGTGGTGACGCAGGGGGGTTGGGGGTGACGGCACTGACAGTGGCGGTGGCGGCAAAGCCTCCCCTCTGCTGGCCAGGGGGCCTGGCTCAAAGCAAAGCCTGGGTAATAGGCCACCCAGCTGCTGCCCGAGCATGGGCAAAGGTGGGCATTTTCTCAGGACGGCAGCTGACTCTGCAGAGTCCGCTTCAGGGAAGGTAATGTCCTCGTCCCTGCCGGGGGAAGTCCAGCAGGCGGCCAGGTTGCCAGGCGCCCGATGACCTGGCCGGTGGCACCCTCACCCTCCTCGTCTGCAGCTGAAGAGCACCCTTCCCTGTGGACTGCAGCCTCTGATTTTACGACTGTCCCATGGCACAGGACAGACGGGTTCGCAAGTTCTCAAGAGACTGGATTTGTCTTCCTCTTACTGGGGTGAGACAATGGTCACTTTGTAGGTCGCTGGCTGGCTGGACTGAGTGTGCTGCCGGCAGGCGTCTGCCCACCCCGGAGGGGAGCGTGGTGCGGGTCCCTGTAAGTGAAAACCAAGGGGCGGGCGGTGATGCCATCTGTGTGACGTACAAAGGAAACGGCAAGTGACAGCCCAGTGCGCCCACTGACCCAGCCTGGGTCACAGCCCCTCCCGGCGCCCGAGCCCCTGGGCAGCAGAGCCCGCTGGAGTGGCTGTCACCCACCCCGGGCTGAGTCTCCTCTGAGGGTGCTCTCGCTGAGGCCAAGGTGGCAGAGCTCTGGGTGCTGAGCCTCTCTGCCCCTCCCAGCCTCACCCTCAGCGGTGGTCTCCAAGGTGAATGAACTTGCGTCAAAAAAGGAGCAAGAAGCCAGGAGTGGACTCTGACCTTGGGTAGCCCGGGCTGAGGAAGAGGCAGAGCCCGCTGCTGTGGGCCCAAGAACAAGTCCCTGCACAAGCCACCTGTCCCTCCCACCCCAGCAGCGCCACGCGGGTGCAGCACAGGAAGCCGCAGCTCCCGCCCGCCACTGGCCATAGCCACAAAGTGCAGGATGGCCGGAAGCCCGGCTCTGTCCTGTCACCAGGTGGCCCCTGACCTGGGCTCCGATCGCTGCTGATTCGACTTGGTAGAGACCATGTCCCCACCCCACCCGGCACTGACCTTGCCATGTAGATGCCGCCAGCTCAGACCTACGCCAGGAGGGGCACAGGGGGGACACTGCCGGGCCGCACACGCACACACCGTCAGGGCTGGGAGGAAGTCAGTCCCATCATCCTGAGGGCACCGGGACGCCCAGCCGAGCCCTCCCCTCAGGGCCTTCAACTTCCCGTCTCTGCGGCCTCCCACCTGGCTTCTCCAGGTCCCTCACGGTGGGCTTCTGCCTCTCTACCCTTCCCCTTAGGATGAGTCTTTAGGTTTGTGCTCACCTCCCCTGCCCTCCTCATCAGCTGTGAGAGGACACGGGCCACCCCTTGCAGTGGCTGGTCCCGGCCCCACCAGGTGCTGACCAGAGAGAACGTCCTGTGCTCCTGCAGGGTCAGCCCCCGGCGATGTACAGTCCTGGCTCCTTGGCTTTGCACTGTCTTTACTGCTCACCCAAAGGTGCAGTTACCCAGCTAATAGCTACCTCGGCCTCTGGGTTGGGAGCTGCTCCCTCAGGGTAACAAGGTGGCTGCCAGCGCTCCTGCTCAGGGTCTCCTCTCCACCGCACCAGCAGGTGGAACCCAGTAGCACGCACAGCCCTGGAGCGAGTCTTCTAGTCTGGCTGGTGTGGTCAGGAGCAAAGCTCTGGTTGTGGGCCCGGGCCATGCACATCCCACCTACCCAGGAGTGGCTGATTCCCAGGAGGGCTCGGCAGCCTCACCGGAGGGCGCGCAGGCGGGTGCTGGGCAGCCTCGGGACGCCTAACTCCTCCAAGGATGCTCGGCACATGCAGAGCGGCTGCTCTGTAAACACACCCTGACAGTGACCTCATCGGTGGTTTCTGCCGTTCTGTTCTTCGATAGTGAGTTGAGCCCGGGGCCTCTGTGCTGGTGGCACCCAGCCCTGTTTGTCTAGAGACAGGGGCTCACTGAGTTGCCCTGACCGGGCTTGAACTTGCGACCCTCCTGCCTCAGCCTCCAGGGCACTGGGATTCCAAGTGCTGCCACCCCGCTCACTGGTACTGGCACAGCATGTTCCCGCAGCCGAAGCCCTTCCATGTGCCCTGTCCTCCCCTTCCGGTGCTCCATCGGTGGATACGGAACTGGACGGCAAGAAAGACAGGAGACAGGCCACAGCTGTGAGCAGCCTGCAAGCTGCCGGTTTATTCGGAAATGCACGGACACAGGTATAGGCTGGGAAGCCCAGGGCCCTGCAGCGGGCACGGGGCTCTGGACCGGTGGCCACCGTGCTCTGTGGGGGCTCGGGCCCTGGTGCCCCGTCCTGCCTCAGCTTCCGCATGGCACTAGTCCCGGAGCACGAGCGGCGCCTTCACCTGCTGTGCCACCTCCTTGCCACTGAGCGCCTCCACGATGGCCAGTGCAAACTCGAAGCTGGTGCCCGGCCCGCGGCTGGTGAGCACCTGGCCGTCCCTCTCCACGCGGCTCTCCGAGTAGCTGTAATGATCTGCAGCGGAGAGAGGAGGCCGAGACCTGACGGGCAGCGCAGTGCCACCACCACACGGCGCCAGTCACCGTCCCAGCACGCTGGCCACCAAGCCACTCACGGCCAGGCCCCACCCCGACACTCTGCAGCCCTCACCCGCTCCCCCCAACCCAGGAATCCCAGAGCACCCAGGGCTGGGACAGGCCCACGAGCCACCCCGACTGTCCCAGCCGGAGCTGCGGCTGTGGCGCTCCCTCTGAACCAAGGCCCGGCCTCGTGGCACTTCCCTTGCGGTGCTGCCTCCTCTGCTGGCCTCTAACTCCCCTCCGGTGGCCCGCTCCCAGGGGTCCTCCCTCAGCCCCACGCGCCCCAGCCCTGGGCCTACAAGGACCTCTGATGCACAAGGTGCTGTCCCTTCCGGCAGGCTCCGGCACCACCCCAACCTGCCTGGTCCCCTCCCCTGGCCAATGAGCCGGAAGCTGAGCGCAAAGCTCCGGGAAGGGGCCCTAACCCCACTCCCTGGTGCGCAAGGTCCCCTGGGTTGCCCCCAGACTGCAAGGAAAGGACCTGTCCAAGGAGCTGGGGCGGCCCACTGCACAGGAGCCGTGGGGGAGAAGCGCCCAGAACCTGGTGGAGGAGCCAGCGATCAGAGCTCAACTACCAGCTGCTGGCGACTGTGACAGGGAACCAACCGGCAGTGGGCAGCCTCAGGACGCTGGGGTGTTCTAAGGCCCTGACATGGGCACGCACCCCACCCTGCCCTTGGCCGGGCCAGGACACTCGGGCGCACTCCAGGCCACTCCGGGTCACTCGGGGCGCCGGCTACAGACAGAGTGCGGAACACCCGCCCAGACCCTGCAGCACAGCCTGCGCTTCCTCTGGAGTCGCCCCCGTTCCCCGCGTCCCTTTCTTTCCCTGAGAGACTCGGGAAACCTTCAAAAACTGCCTGCTCGCACTGCTGCGGGAGCACAGGGTCCTGGCTGGCATCAGGTTTCCTTCCCCTCCCAGGGCCAGGCTGCGCCAGACCAGGCTGGCCTGACCCAGGCGGGCAGCACCCCAGCTGCACGGGTAGCACTCACAGGCACCACAGAGAAGAGGGCTGGGCTTGGCAGCCGCGCCACCTAGTGACAGGGACGAAGCACAGCGGGCAGAGGACCCCAGCCCAGGGTGCACTGGCTCGCAGGGCTGGTGGTCGGCACCTGGGCTCAAAAGAGCGCACCTTGACTTTCTTTCTTTTTTTAAAACTCTTGGGAAAAAACCCCAAAGCCAAGCCATCTCTTCAGGGAAAACCCATGGGACAGCTGGGGACAGACAGGGTCAGCAACTGAAGGCCGGAACTTGGGTTTGTCAATAAAGCTTTATTGGCATGAAAAGTGTCCCAATCTGTCTGCTCTGGCACTGGGACAGCCAACGGTGGCCACGCAGAGGGTGGTCGGGGAAGGTGGCCTTTCCCGTGTCCACATGTGGCCTGTGACAGCCCCTCATGGTGGCAGCAGGAGAGGGACCCGGTTCCTGGCCAGGCTCACACTAGCTCCAAAAGCCCGCCACCGACCCTCCAGCGACAGATGAGGAACAGGCTCTGAGGGATGAAGCCCTGCCATTGCCCCTCAGCAGGTGGTAAAGGGCACAGCTAAGCTAAAGGGGCAGGCTGCAGCTGCGCAAGCGCGCGCCCGGCTCCCAAGAGGCTGAGGCAGGAGAACCCCTGGCACCGACGAGGTCAAGGGCAGCCTAGCAACACAGCTGGAGCCCAGCTCAGAATCAAGGAAAGCAGGCTGCAGACCCCTGCACTTGGCAGGCTTCATCTGTGCAAAACTATAAAAAAGAGCACCGTGTGCAAAGGAAGTTCCAGAGCCCCACGAGACACCTCCAGGTGTCACCTGGGCCAAGAGGAGGGGGTGGGGAGCAGGCGAGCCCAGCCTCTCACCCCCCTTCTGCACTGCCCGCTCCGCTGATCGCGCATTCCATCAAGACAACTAACGGGAGACACAGGCCTCCCAGGACGCGTGACAGCACGTGTCCGCAGGCAGCAGGCTGGGCTTGGGCTCTGCTCTGGACCTCGGGTGAAAGGGCGCTGTCGGAATCTACTGCTGGGGTTGAAATTTTACCCTCAGCTGCTGACAAAGTGTTTAGAAAGAACACTACCTAAACTGGCGTTTTGTGACCGCCCGCACTTGGTGACACTTGGGGGCGGGCACCCCTCTCTGGCCAGGTTGAGCCCCTCGGAGGGCGCGACTGGGGAGCCCAAGTGCTGTGTCACGCTGTGCGGGCCCTCTGTGCACAAAACATAAGCATGTACTTACTCCCGTTCATCATCTTGTCTTTAGCAAGTGGGTGCGTTGTAACTTTGCTTCCAAAGCCTATTTCATGAGCCAACAGAGCTGTGGGACCTAAAAATAAGATTCATAAAAAGATCTGAGTGCAGACGCAAAGAAACCCAAGCTTTAGAAATTGCCTCAGTAAAGCGCTCTTCCCAATCACGAGGCTCCCATCTAAAAAGGATTACGCTTCTGACAGGAAGCGCTTCTTGGAAGGAGAAGTCCGGCTTCTACAAGCTGCGTGCTGCGCCCCTCTGGTGGAGCTGTGCGCAGCCCCTAACACTTCAGGGGCGTCTAACCAGAGCGTGACCTTGCCACCCGCAGGCACCCGCAGGAGCACAGCGTGCCCCGCACAGGGAGGCCCCGCGCGAGGCCAGGGGACTGGCACCCTCTACCTCCTGCACTCTCTCTCTCTTACAATGTTACCTTTCTAGCTAAAGTGGGAAATGAACACCCACCATCCAGAGGTGCCCGGTGGGAAGGCACTAATGAGCACAGCGCACTACCTGAAGAGAAACTTGGGGGATCAGCGCAACAGTCCAGGAAACAGGCACAAGACACGTGGGTTCCTAAGACCACGCAGGTGCAGACCCGTGGGAAGCTCGGCCTGCTTCTCAAGGCGAGGTCTGTAAAATGCCCAGGCAACTGCCCAGATTTGTAGCCCAGTGTATTCACTGAAGATGGCCAACTCCAGTGCTTACCACGACAGCTTCTGTAGCTAGCGGGCCTCAAAGCCTAAAGTCACAAAGACTGTAGTACCTGCAAGCTCTCAAAACGGTCTTCTCATGCCCTACATCTCAGCTGCCTGAGTGAGACCGCTGGGCTCACGCTGCACTGGGACGAGGGTGCATGTGCGCGTGGCTCAGCAAACCTGCCAGGCTGCCCGTAACTCTAGGAGACGGCAGCAGGGACCTTCGGTGCTCGGCTTCGTTCCAGCCAAGCTAAGACCAGACCAAGAGCACTGGGTACTGAAGCTCCCTGCCCAGCATCAAGTGGTCCACTCAAGCAAGTCTGAGTGTAGCCCTTAAAAGTCAGGCGGTCGTGAGTTCGATCCCCGGTACCAATAAAAATGAAAAAGACAAAAAAAAAAGTCTTGAGGTCAGATGTGGTGGTGCACACCTGTAATCCCAACTCAGAAGGCTGAGGCAGGAGGACTGCTGTGAGTCTGGGGCCAGTCTGAACTGCACAGTGAAACCGTGTCTCAAAAAGACCAAAAAAAAAAAAAAAAGACCAAATAAAAGTTAAAAAGTCTCAAATGAGCCAGGCATGATGGTGCACACCTGTAATCCTAGCACTCTGGAGGCTGAAGCAGGAGGATCTCCTAGAGTTTGAGGCCAGCCTGGCTACATAGTGAGTTCAAAACCAGCCCAAACTAGATAGAGACCTTCTCTGAAACAAAACAAGTCTCAAACACATGACTCCACTTACGGTCACATATGGCAGTAAATTTTAGGTCATCACTCAATTCTTAAGTCACCTCTCTGTCTACTAGGACCTGAAGAGCTAAGGAGCCCACCCTGCCTTACTCTCAAACTGCGCCTAGGGTGACTGTGCGGTGAGGAGCGGCCACAGTGAGGCGCGGATCCTCGGGCTGCTCCCTTCAGGCTGGTAAGGCTGCCGCCTACAGCGACGTTACCACGGCAACCGCGTGCTGCACACTTGCTGTGGGCTTGCTGTGACCCCAGACCCGGCATCATTCGGGAAGTCAGAAAGAGACCCTTGGGCTCTCAGCTTGAGGTTCTGATGCAGGCACAGGGCCGCATGATCCTCCCAAGCACCAGACCAGGAGGAAACAGCAGCCAGACCCTTGCCCTGCAGCGCCACCCAGTGGACATGAAGGAAAGGAGCGCCTGGCCAGCTCCCTGGCTGCAGCAGCCCCTCCGGACCTGGGACCCAGACCCCAGGGCAGGGGCTCCTCCCTCCGCTTTCTCCAGCTCCCTCCGTGCAGGGGCTGCCACTCTCTGAGTGCACAACTATCTCTAGTTCCCCTGCAAGATGTCAGAAGACTCAGCCAACGGGCCCTTCCGAATCTCTTCCATCTGCTCTGCACCCCCGCGCCCCTCTCCTGGTTGGCACACTGGAGCCAGGATGGCAGTGCTAGGCCGCCTCTGGGGAAAAGTGCCACAGAGTATCCTCTCTTTCCTGTCTCCCGGGTACGGACAGGCCGACTTCCCAGCACGGCACACAGCTGCCTGGGCGCAGGGCAGTGAGCGCAGTGGGGATGCCACTGAAGGACAGTGACGCCGAAGGACAAAGTGTCTATGGTCTTCATTCACCAGAATCGTCAGGGAAGCGACCCAGGCAAACCCTCACTTGCCCCTTTGGTCAAAGCACCAGGAAGGAGCCCCACGTGCAGCAACAGAGATGGACACTGCCTACCCAGCCCCAGGCCACTACGGCCAGGGCTGCCCACCTTCTCGCTCTCTCCCACAGCAGCTCTCAAGCATGCAGCCCCAGACCCGCAGCGCCTGTGGGGACCCTGGTCACTGTCTGCGGGCGGGGCACCGGGTGCCAATCCCGGGCCCTCACGCATGCTACGCTTGCCCTCCTCACTGAGCTGCGCCCCGGCCCAAACACAAGAGCTCAGTGCCCTGCCCGAGTGACAGCTCTGACCTGCTGGTGTCAGGCCTGTGACGATGTCAGGACCCGGCACTGCCCCGTGCCGCTCCGACCCCTGGACCCAGGGCCGGCACTCAGCACTGCCACTGAGAGGCAAAGGCCTGGGCCGTGACTTCTCTGAAAAGTCAAACAACAGATCCAAGCCGAGGCGATGGTACGGGAGAGCAGCGTGTGACTAAGCTGCAGCCCCGGGGACACCCCACCTAGCTGCAGGGCCTGGGCCTCTCCGGCCGAGAAGCAGGGACACCAGCCAGGGCGCAGTGGAGGGACCAGCCCGAGGGTGGCTCCTGCTGACTCCTGCGCTGTCCAGTGGATCCCAGAGGGCGCTCTCTCTCTCGGTGTCACAGGATGCAGACCCAGGGCTCGCAGGGCAGCAGAGGCGGCGGGGCGGGACCGCTGCTGGCCCGCGCTCCCCAGGGGCCGTTCCAGGCGGCACTGTACCTGCACAGATGGCGGCGATGAGGCCCTTCCTGCCCTCCTGCTCCTTCAGGATCTCCTTCACGGCTGGCGACTGGGCAGAGAACCAAAGCAAGCCGGTTACGGGGCCCGCTGTCTGCTCACAGCCCGACAGTCTAATCTACTTCGCAAAAACTCCACAAAGCCAACGCCCCGCAAATCACTAAGCAGCGCACAGCTGTCTGCCCCCCTCCGGGCCTCCTGCAGCTGGGCAGCCCTGGGAGGAAAGGAAAGCGCTCCGTGCTCAGGAGAGCCGGGAAAGCGGGGAGCGGCGTCCAGCTCGGCTGCCCCCCCTGCCCCTGCCGCTTCCCCAGAGGAGGGCTGGGCTCTGCGCAGAGCCACCCCAGCATCACGAGCACTGGTTTCTGGGGCCCACCGCATTGATTTTAGCTACTCCTGGTCTGCGTCCATGCCCGGCCTCTCCTGAAGGGCCGGGCACTAACTCGCTGGGCAGCATACGCCCACTGCCCTGCGGCCTCAGGACGGGACCCAGGGCTTTTTACCTCAGACAGATTCTGCGCGCCCAGGTTGCCTCCAGGCAGAACCACCACGTCATAGGGGCCCTGGGACAGTGGGGACAAACACAGAAAGGCTCATTTTAAGTGGGCACGAAGCCAACAGTCTACACAGCTGCGTTTTATCTATTTATTTTATTTTGACACTGGGGATCGAACTCACAACCTTGCACTTGCCAGGCAGGCACTTAAGCCACGGAGCTAAATCCCCAGCCCACAGCTTCATTTTAAATCACAAGTGAAATGTAAGAGATAATCTAAGCACTGTCAAAAGCGGCACAACACATGTTTTACATCAGGAAGCCCAGGGTTCAAGCCCCAGAACCAAAACCAAAACCACGATCGAACAAAAGACAGTGAAGCAAACCAAGTTATCCCAATGCTGCAGCTGTTTTAGTTAGCAAAAAACACAGGAAATCTGGATACAGTAACACTGCAAAGCATCAAGTGTAATAAAAATTGTACTCTTGTGAAAAGACAAAAATCGATAGCCTGTCGATAGCCCTGCTCCCTCAGGAGACTGAGGCAACAGGCCTGAGCAGTGCGACGAGACCCCGGCACACACATGAAAAGCTATGTACACTGTGTGTGCACAGATGTCTTATGTACACCCACATTCTCCCAGACCAAAGGACATCAGCTGCAGCAGGGAGTGTGGGGAGGTGGGCAGGAGAGAGGGACACTGTTACGGCTGTGTCCAGATGTCCCCCAAGCCTCATGCAGGCATGTGGGGCTTTTTCAGCGGGGGCTGGATCTAGAGTGTGCGACCGACTCCTGGGGCAATGCTGGGATTCGGGGTGTGACTACTAAATCAGCTCACTGACCGGTACCCTCGTGCCGCTGGCTAGACAGAGCATCAAAGGGCAGGAAAGAGCTCTAAGGCCCCCGTTTGCTTTGCTGTCTTCTGCCCGCTGGGCATTTTCTCCTCTGTGACGCCCCTCTGCCGCACCCTGCCTAGGACTTGGCCAACTACGGACTGAAACATCCACACTGTGAGCTGAACAAACATTTCCCCCTTTAACGCCCGCCAGATGTCGCGTGTATTTTCTTAGCAACAAGAAAAGTAACACACTCATTCATCTTTTTGGCTTCACACTTAAGTCTAGAGCTGCAACAGGAATAAAGGTAGCAATTGCTAAAACAAAGAAAAACACATTTTAAGTAAAAAGCACAAGAAAAATACTCTAAACTTTAAGAAAAATTGAATTTGGAGAGGGAAGGAAAAAATAATATTTTAAGTATCCCAAACATCAAAACATCCCAGATTTCAAGCTTGCTAAAATCAGAAAATGGAAAATTGCCTTAATACTTAAAGATGTTAAAAAATTTAGTCATTAAAGAAAATACTTAGTATATACATTTACAACAATATTTACTTTTTAGAGCTATGTACACTCACAAACATCCCATGTAAAACTCTAATCAGAAAATGTGTTTGTCCCTTTTAGAATGTGAAGTTAAATACCTATAAAAGGTAACCACTAATCTAAAGCCCCACAATGCTGAGTAAAGGGAATGAATGAATGAATGAGTAAAGGGAATCTTTACTTCTACTTTGTGCGTCTAACAAGCTGTTTACCAGTTTCAGGAATTCAAATGTGAATAGCAGCGGTCACAGAGAGGAGGAAACTTTCCCCGGCTGTAACAACGGCCCAGCACAGGGAACCTGCTCCAGCTGCAGCAGGGCCATCACAGCCCTGAAGCCACCCTATCTCTGCCTCCAGATGACAGAGCCACTGTTGCCCCGGCCTGTTACACCTGACCCTGTGACAGGCTGTGCACAGGGGTCTGAGTGGCCTGTTGCTGAGGAAAGGGACCCCAGCTTTCCAGGAGAGAACAGGAGTCTGTCAACCTTCAAGAGAAGGACCACCACTCTGAAGGGAATGGCACAGTGACTCGGTGTAAGGAGACCTGTCGGCCTTCCCTTAATCCAGCCACTCATCAAGGAGCTGTCCCATGTCAAAGGGCTCCCACACCTGTTCTGTGTCACTCCACGGGGAGAAGTAACTTCAGAAACAGGATTACGAGTGCCAGGCACGGCAGTGTGCATCTGCAATTCTGGCATCCTGGGGGGCTAAGGCGGGAGGATTGTAGGTCTGAGCCCAGCCTGGGCAACTTAGTGAGACCCCTGTCTCAAAACAAGACTGGAAATAGGAATACAAAGTAAATGAGAAATGGGGCAGTTGATTCTTATTATCAGATAAAAAACAAAAACAATAAAACCATTTCCATCAGAAGCAAGGATGTCTTTGTAAGCCAGAACAATACCAATGGCACCTGGCACCCTCCCACCTTAGTCCCCCAGCCACCAGGCGCCCCTTTACTGACCACATGTGGTCCCCAGCAGGGGCCAAGTTCCACAGACACAGAGGAGCACGGTACAGTCCTTGGCCTGCCAGCAGGGTAGAGAAGACCCCAAACAAAGTAAGTTTCTAAGAAGTTCATGCTAACGGCAGTCTTGCATCCATCAGGAAACTAATGAAAAAACCTGTGAAGGAGAACTTCACGTATGGAGAACAAACCTCCTTTTTTGCTTCCTCAAGACTTGTGTCAGGGCAAATGACGACATCACGGCTACACTGTACGGGGTCTTTCCCAGTCAGACCTGCAACGGTGACTTTAATCTAAAAGAAAGACATCATGACATTCAGGAATGCAGAAGCATACATTTTAAGAGCTGACATTTTCACAGCTTACACGTGTTTTAAAGTCACTTGTAGGAAACACTGCAACAAAACCATGCTGAATTTAAGCTACTCTAACAAGGTCTGGCCCCCAACCTTTCTCCCATAGGAGCTCTGGTCTGAGAGATGAATTACGGGTCATCCTATTAATAACCAACCCTGTAAGGTCACTGCGGCCATTTAAACCTCGCCACACTTTCCTAAGATAGAAATGCACAGTAAAGCAACAAAACACCACTGTACCTGGCAAATAGCAAAAAAGTTGAGGTACCAAGAGGTAATCCAGAAAACCGGGAATTTTCCTCCCCTGCTGCTGAACGCAGATTGCTGGACAGTGGAAGGCAATTTGGCAAAATCTAGCGATACTGACTACGTATATCCTTGAGCCTACAATTCTACTTTCAGGTACAGAACCAAAAACTTAAGATGCACTGCATTGCATGTAAAGCTGTGAGAGTATTTCCAGGTCTGGGGACACAGCTCAATGCACAGTGTCTGCTTAGCATACACCAATCTCTGGATTCAAAAGCAAAAAACTAAGTATATTACAGTGTTACTGGGCTGTCATTAGACTAGAAGGGATGTGGCCTGTTTGCAAGATATGAAACTAGGGGCTGGGGATTTAGCTCAGCGGCATAAGCACCTGCCTTCCAACCAGGCAGTCATGAGTTTGATCCCTGGTACCGACAAAAAAAAAAAAAAAAAAAAAAAAAGATATGAAACTAAACAGCAATGTCAGGAAAGATTTTGATGTCTGAGAACCAGCAAAGTATAAACAGACTGAGGCCAGACTGCCCACATCCACGCTGTGGCTCTTCTCAAATTTTTCAGCAGCTCTGTCTCAGCTTCCTCAATACCTACTCACAGGGTTGTCATAAGGTTTACAGACGTGCTTAGAACGCAGCCTGGCACAGCTGGTGCCACTGAAGTGGGTGCTGCCGTGCTGGACAGACGTACGTGGCACACACGACACAGCCGGACACACAAGAGAGCGAGAGGCTAAGGCCACGCACTCCTGTGAGGAAGGTGCTGGGCTGAGGGTCAGAGGACTGGCGAAATTGACAAAGGAGGCTTCAAGGGAATTTTTCTTTTCTTTCTTTGCCAGTACGGGGTGTGTTTCTTTAAGAGCATTTTCTCTTTAAGAAATGAGTCTGAGGCTGGGCACACTGGCACACATCTGTATTCCCAGCTATGGGAGGCTGAGACAGGACAACCACCTGAGCCCAGGATTTCAGGGCCAACCTGGGCAACAGAGGGAGACACTAGCTCAAGGGTGGATGGATGGGCAGCAAAGAAAGAAAAAAATAGGACGGAAAGGAGAGAAGAAAGGAAGGAGGAAGCAAGGGAAAAACTGGTCCAAAACAGGCAAAATATAAAAAAAGGGGGGGGGGGGCTAAAATGTGTATTAAACACACTTCATGATTATGCAATCACTGTAGTGTGGCATGTATTTGAAGTACTCCACCACGCACGCTGAACACTGTGTAATTCAACATGCCCCCAAGGAGGGCCAGCACACAGCAGGGCTCACCCCAGCACGCCGCATGACATCCACAGGGATGACTGTCTCCATCTCCTCGGCTCCTTTGGCCAGGATGACCAGGGCTCTCTTTGAAGCCATTGTTATTTGTTTTTACAGCCTAAAAAAAAAAAAAAATTAAAAAATATTTCACGTTTCCTGTGACATTCTAGAATACCCAAATATTTTTAGTATTGGAATCTTTTCAAGCAGAGTAATACCTTGTAGGGAAACAGTTCTGATATGGAAAAAAGCATTTTGGGTTAACCTTGACATACACAGCAGTTTCAACTGCTGAAAGAGGAGGGCAGGAAGGTTATTAATATGCGTTAGTATTGTTTATGTTTTCTTTTACCGCATTTTCTTAAATTCTTTTCCTTTTTTTGGTCTTTTTTGGTGCAGGGTTTCACTGTTTAGTTCAGGCTGGCTTTGAACTCACTATGTAGCCCTAGCTGGCCTCAAACTCAGGGCGATCCTCCTGCCTCAGCCTCCCGAGTGCTAGGATTACAGGTGTGGGTCACCACACCTGGCTTAAACCCAATTTCTAAAAATCTATTAAATACCAGATTCCCTAAATCACAAGTATGTAGATCTTGCACGACACACAATGCTCTTCACGAAGACTAGCTTCAAGTACTGTTTGGTAGAAAAACTGGGCAAAAACTTACGTAGCTTTCTTGCAACTAGCTCCAAAGAGTTGTGGAGGAGATTTTGCCCCTTGATTCTGATAACCACTAAAAACGTGGGCGTCGAGGCTACGGAATACCTGGGCCCACTCTAGGACTGGGAAGGGCGGCGCTCCCCGGCCTGGGGTGACCACTGGCGCCCCCGGGCGGCCACATCGCCCTCAGCCTACGTCTGTCTGGGGTCTGCCCCCGTGCACCGGCCTCAGGGAAGCCGTGTCGGTACACGCAGTCGCCGAGCTCCGAGCCGCCGGGCCGCGCCGGGCCGCTGACTTTCGGACAGGCGCCGCAGGGAGTGCAACCCCGCCAGGCCGCCCGACCTGCGGCCTGGCCACGCGGCAGTGGGCCGACCTGCACGCCGCGCCCCTTCTCGCTCCGCCGCCAGGGGCGGGGGTCCCGCGGCCCGAAACCACTCACCCTGCCAGACTAAAGCGGGCCGCGCACTCACTGCACGCCCGTCCCTCAGGCCGCCCTGCGCAGTTTCGCACCGCTTCCGGGTCACGGCGCGTCACTTCCGGTAGAGCCCACTTCACCCCCCCCCCAGGACTGCGGAGGGGAAGGCGCATGAACTCCTCCCCCCGGCCGCTCCGAGAATGGCACAGTCCCGCCTGGCCGGCGAGCGCCGGGAGTAGAGCGCGCTCTGGCGGCGAGCAGAGGGGCGACAGGCCCGCTGTTTTAGGAATTAGTACCTTCCTCAGAGCTGCTGCTGCGCACTCCCGGCTGCCTTTCTTTCCTTTCCAGCATCGTCTTCTGGTTTTACTCCCTCCCTCCTTTCTGCTAAGACCCTTTCTTCCAGATCATCCTGGCCCTGGTCCCCACACTAGGTCACCAGGTCCCGGCGACTCTGTCCAGCACTTACAGAGAGTCGTCAAATGCTTGTAACCCAGCACATGGGGAGGCTGAGGCAGGAGGATCATAGGTTCAAGCCCAGCCTGCGCAGTTTATGGATCGCAGTGAAAGGTCTGGGTTCAGCCCCCAATACAGGCTTTCCTCGTTTTAGATCTCGGTTCCTGCGACTTAGTTGTTAATGAGGGATCATGCACAGTACGTGCAATATTCAGAACAAAGTAGTCAAAGGAAACTCCAACTTGCTGACTTGGCTTTTATTTCTATAACTTGCATAACATAAAATCGCAGTACTATAGCAAAAATTACAGGACTATATAAACAAGGTGTACTGTACCCAGGAAAACAGGTGGCCCGTGGTGGCCTGTTTAACCAGTATCTGAACCGCCAGCAAAACAGTTCTGCTGCTGCCGCGTCGAAGCACTACAGCAATGCTGAGCAGACAAGGCAGTAAGGACTTAGTGGACTTAATTTCTCTCTTAAATTTTTGAATACGGACCCTTTGGGTTTTCAGTACTGAGGACTGAACTCGGGGCTTCCTCAGCAAGTTACATCCACAGCCCTTTTGGTTTATGATTTTGAGATAGGGTCTTATTAATTTGCCTAGTCTGAGCTCAAGCTTGGGACCCTCCTGCCTCAGCCTCCCAGACTGCTGGGTTTACAAGCACGAGCCACTGCACTCACCGTGAGTACTCATACATCTGCCAGTTCAAAAAACCAAGATAATTAGAATTACACCAAACAGATGTCTATCCCTGTCCTCACTGTGTTCCGTCCCTCCCTCCCACAGGTAACATCTTTATTTCCTGCAATTCTTTCCAGCACTTCTTTATGCTAATAGAGCTATTATTTTCCTCCTTTCTTGCATAAAAATGTGGACTCTGTGCTGGGAGTGGTGGCGCATGAGTTCAAGGCCAGCCTGAACTGCATAGTGAGACACTGTCTAAATAAATAAAATAAATTTTAAAAATGGGGCCATGGATATAGCTCAGCAGCACAGCACCTGCCTGGAAAGCATGAGATCCTGAGTTTGATTTCTGATACCAAAAAAAAAAAAAAAAATCCTATACTTTGTTCTGAACCTTTCCCCCACAACCTCAGCTGTGTGCATTTATCACAGGAACGTCTTGGAACTGTTCCATATTAAAAAGAACCCCTCTCTGCCATATAGCAGGCCTTACGGAGACGTGCTACAGGTTACTGATAAGGAGGTCTTTTCCGATCATTTTCTGTACGGACACCTCTGCCCCAAATAACTTTATACGTATGGCCTACTAGGGCAAGTACTGTGGAGGATAAATTCCCAGAAGTGGGAAGCATATTTCAGCACCTCGCACAAGCTGAGCCACTTGGCACGCTCGCCAGCAGGGAGATTAAATAGTGCTTTTTATTCAGTTTTAAAAGTTGTGAAGTCATGTATGCAACATTGTGTACTTGTAAAAATGTTTGAAAATGCGCTTAAACATTTGATAGGCTAAGAAAAAAGCATTTTAGGAATTCAATTCCAGAATGACTTTACTTCTGTTTGGGAAGCAAGCAGGTAAAAGCCACTTCCTTGAGCTTTGAAGGAGTTTGAGGCCAGCTTGGGCTATGTAGTGAGTAGGGGGCTAGCCAGAACTACACAGCAAGCCCCTGTCTCAAAACAAAAACAAACGGGAGGGATTTAAGTAGATGGAAAACTAAAAGAAGACCAATTCCTGTAATCCCAGCATTCAGGAAGCTGAAGCAGGAGAATCATTGCAAGTTTGAGGCCAGCTGGGCTACAAAATGAACTAAGGCCAGGCTGAACTGCATAGGGAGACCGTCTCAAAAAGATACATAAATGAATTAAAAGAAGACAAGTTGTTTTGTTATAGCTCTGCATGTAAGTTTTTATTTTAAAAGGATGTACAAATTCACTGTCATCAAGAACTGAAATTGATCTGAGCTGGCCTTAATTATTCTCAGATTCATACAGCGCGAGTCCTAAGGCAGACCGAGTAACCTTTCAGGAGCAGTCACTTTCTCCTTCCATCCGCTTGGGAGAGTAGACATCCTATCCCTTAACCTGGGGCTTGGGCATTATTTTGGCCAGGGGTATCCACAGAGGACTGATGAAAGCTTTGCACAGTAGAATCTGGTAATCAGGCCTATGCTTTTATACTTTTGAAATGCCAGAGGAATCTTCCACAAGGAAGTTACCACTGTCTCGGCAACTAGGGCTTCAGAATGGTTACATGTGGAACACAGCCAGCCCAGCTACCCTGCACAGGTAACCTGACGGAGAATCACCCTGCCAAATGGCAGACTGCACCAGGCAGGGACTGCGGCCGAGCAGAGCTAACTACACAGCAGCAGCCCTTGGAGTTCTCCTTCCCAGCTCTCAGTTCTGCTCCCCCAAAGGCAAATATTTTCAACTCTAAATTATTTCTTCTGCTCTACCACTCAGGAGGCTGATGCAGGAGGATCACTGTGAGTTCAAGGCCAGCCTAGGCTACAAAGTAAGTTCAAGGCCAGCCTGAACTAGATAGTGAAACCCTATCTCAAAAAGCCAAAAAATAAATTACTTCTTCTGGCAATTATCTCCGTACTTTTAAGAAGCATTCTCATGTATTGGCTTTAGATATAATATACTTCCCGGAAAGTAGTACCATACTTTTCATCTTACAGATGCCAAGACCCAGGTCCAGAAGGGTGAAATGATTGTATATGGTCCTGCAGACCTGGTCAAATTCAGATACTCTGATGTCACATTTCACACTCTACCCACCACTGACTCGATCAGTGTTAATAATGTCAGTGACACTCATGACGGTTTCTTCATAGTTCAGACACATTTCTCATCACACATTTATAAAACACCCCACCTCAAAAATCCAACCGTTTACCAAAATACCATTGCTCTTGTACTGGCAATGAAGACACCTCCTAGGTCAGTCCCCTTTTCCCCACAGATCACCCCATTCTGTCCACTAGCGTTTTTACTCACCATGTGACAGTAATGCATTGTGGGAAGTCCAGACTCAAAAACTCTCCCTGTTTTCAAAGACTCTAAGTCTACTTCAGCTTCCTGCAGCAGCTGTGACTACAAGGAACGGCTATTGTTCTGAGCTGATCGTTCAGTAATGGACCCATGCATTACCATGTTAGCAACAGCCACCCATGGTCCCTACCCAGAATTACCCCAGTCACCCTACCGAAGAAACTGCTGTCAGGCTGTTTGCCAATTTTCCCCCACGGATCACTCTTACCGATTTGAGCATCTCATCTAAGTAAACACTAAATAGTTCCCCACCCCTCCCCCATTGATAGCTTATATCATTCAGTATTTTCTTGTCTATTTACGCTTTGGTCTCTCCCTGCTCCTGTGAACACCAGACAAGGGCTTCTCCATTCTATCTTGGCCAGTGTTGAATTCTCAGCATCTATACCGACCCCAGCACCCAGCTGGTGCTTGGTAAATACTTGCTGATTTCACCCTGTACTATTTGACTTCTTCTTCTTTTTTTTTTTCTTTGCTATAAATGAATACATTTATGAAATACTGCAGTTTACAGTTCGATCATACATACATTTGTACTGGAAATTGAACTCGGGACCTTGCGCGTGCCAGACAGGCGCTGTGCCACTGAGCTACATCCCCAGCCCTCTTATTCCTATTTTAATAAATTCTTATTTCTCACATCAAACTCATTTGATGAACATGAGATGTGAACTTTCACGTGCACTGGGGAAGCTGACGTCATTTTCACCTGTTTTCTACCTTCCCTGAGTAGGAGGAATTTAAACTGAGATACTGGGCCTAAAAAGGTACTTCTGCGGAATCAGATAAATGTTATCTTTCACCGTGCAGTAGAGGCACGCCCTGGATCAGTTCAGCAGACGACGAATTTCCCCTCTGCAGCCCCCAAAGGTTAGGGCGCCGGGAGTGGGGAAGAGTGGGCGAGCCCTGACATTTGAGACAGCGCTGGCCCAAGGGGGAAATTCTGACGCGGAGGTCTGGGAGGCGCTGGAGCACAGCGTCGCCTCTCCCCTGCACCGGGTGTGAAAAGCCCCCCAGCGTGGGCCATCACACTCGACTCCCACCGCTCTCGGGCGCCGGAAACGGGACGGCTCACCCGCAGTGACGTAAGACCTACTTCCGTCGGCGGAGACGGGTCGCCCCAGGCGGCGCACGGGATTGGCCGAGACTGGCCTCGGTGGGCGGGGCGAGGGGCGGGGCGAGAGTCAAGCCTGCCCTGGGCTCTGAGTCTGCGGCTGCGGTGCGCTAAGTCTTATGGAAACTCGTGGCGGGAGGTCGCTTCCTTTCCAGAGCCCTGGGTGGGTCTCCGCCGCCAAAGGGTAGCTGTGGCCCAGCGACCCCGCGGACTTCCGGAGAAAGTGCGTAGCCTGCCAGCTGCGAGGCGGCATCGTTGAGCACCCCCTGGCCTTTGGTTCGTGCTGGGGACCTGTGAATGGGTCGCCCGCGATCGACACCGTTAACCTGCTCCAAGGCCCGCGGGCCTGCAATGTCCAGCCCCTGCTGGGTTAGTCACCTCGTTCATGGCTCTTTTGGAAACAACCTGGGAAGACCGGTGTGAGAACAAAACCGGACTCTCTTCCGCTCAGGTTGTTTATGGAAACTACTGCCTGCTCCAAAGTTAGGGGGTGCTTGGGTCTAGAGTGAGAGTAAAATCTGATTGTTTAGGGTTTCAGTAACGTGAATAGTGCCTGCCCAGAGGTGAGTGAGGCCTAGTGAGATCTTAAGTGAAACTCTTAAGTTCAAAGGAATGGAAGTGTTGAGCCCCTCTTACTATTTCCTGTTGCGGGTTCTTTAATGCTGCCGCCGTTAGTCTCTCCGATTCCACTATTTTGGAAATATACAACGACGCGGGAGCTACATCCGCGTTTCTCTTCCATGGGCAAAAACATCGCGCTCAGCCCAGTAACAGGTGTTTAACCTAGCAAAACTCCTGGCTGACTCCGTGGACCCAACCTCTTAGGTCCCTTCCTGAGGACCTTTCCTTATCTCAAGGCCACCTACTCCCGAGGTTTTTCAGCAGTGACTAGCCCCAGGCTAAGGACAGAACACCGCTGGTGATCTTTGGCTTCGCTGTAGTTCTGGGGTCTGCTGCCTGGCTGGATTCTGATCTAGATTGTTAGAATGAGTAGGAAGCATGTCAGCCGCATTTGAATCTTGCCGCAGTGTGATTCAGACCTCTTATCTCCCACGTGCTTAGCGCCTGCCCTCCCTCATTCCTGGAATATACCCTGATCCTTGCCTCGTTCATTCTTCTGTAGAAACACTTCTCCCCGGATGCCCTCTGCTTGCGAGTCAGCCTTTCACTGTGTTCCCTGTCCTGAAAACTTGATTGCAGGGTCATTCCCTCCAGGAGTTTTGTCTGTGTTCACATTGCCTTTTGTCCTGTGTCGTTAGCATCTTTAAGGCTGTGTGGCCGTATCTCATTTATGTGACCTCTTCATTTCTCTCAAGGCTGCGAAAGCCAACTCATTTAAGTCTATTGAGCTCTGGGCAGTGGTGAGTTCCAAGGATGTGACAGCAAGCTAATGATAGAACTGTGATGGAGCTTTTGTTCAGATGGGAAGGCAGGTGTTAAAGGCACGTGGTTAGGTATAGTCATGTGTCAACTAATGACAAAGACATGTTCTGAGAAATTTGTCACTGGGCAATTTTGGGAACACCACAGATGTGCTAGTGCACACTGAGACGACTGTGATATCTTGATAATGATAATCTTGGGGACAGAGGTACGTGCTCTGCTGTTGACTGAGATGCCTGTGTGCAGCACGTGACCGTGCCAGACTGTCACGTGTTCTGTGAAGGAGAGAAAAGGAGAGGATAGCTCTGCACATGCGCTTCGAGGGCGTGGGCAGAGACTTTTCCGAAGAAATCTAAAGATGAGAGGACAAGTCATGCAGAGAGAGAAAATGAGCATTTTAAACCAGACAGCAAAGGAAAGGTCCTGCAACCGGAGTGTGAGGCATAGTAACACCAAAGAAGTCCCAGTAGAGGGGACTGACAGGGGCACAGGCCCGAAGGGCACTGCAGTAGACACCGTGGCCTGGGATTCATTGAGTTGGTAAAGGATAGAGAATGATTCATTTTTTATTATGTATGTATTTCAGTGCTGAGTCTCCGATGTGCTGGATGCCCATTCTGCCCCAGAGCTACCCTCCCGAGCCCTAAAATAACTTAATGATAGTGACATGAAACTTGCAAATTGCTTGAGATTGAAAGGGACAGAGCCTGTAGAATATACACCCATACACAGATGCATTCGGACACACACGGTATTTATGTCTTGCAAGTAGGTAATTGGAGCTCTGATGTAGTGTGATAGTTAACTAAAAAAATGACTCAGTGAAAACTAATGGCCTGTGTAATCGCAGTGGAAACTCAGAAACAGGTGTGGAGCCGAAGCCGAAAGCCTTGCGAGCAGGATTGTTTTGTAGAGAATGTACCAGCATTCAGAAGTTCAGGCAGAGCCTGAAGAAGGTGAATCCCAAGTTCAAGGCCAGCCTGGGCAACTTAGCAAGACTGTGTCTCAAAATAAAATTCAAAAAGCAAGAGGGAAGCATGGAGCACTTGGCTTGGCATGTGCAAGGCCCGGGTTCAATCCCAGTACACAGAAGCAAAACATTCAGAGGAAATAAACTCTGGCGTCTGATACCTTGGCTTTGTTTTTTTGTTTTTGTTTTTTTTTTTTGGGGGGGGGGGTTGGTACCAGGGATCGAACTCGGCCTTGCACTTGCCAGGCAGGCGCTTATGCCGCTGAGCCAAGTCCCTGGCCCCTGATACCTTGTTTTTTGACTCGGAGGAAGAATACTTCAGTGAGGTTTGGCAGTGGTTGAGTTTATGAAGATGAACTGGGGTATTCATTAGGCCCGGTGGGTGCCAGCAATACTGTCCACCCTCCCAAGCGGCCCCGCAGGCAGAAGCTGGCCTTCAGCAGAGTCACATTGCTCCTGGATGTTGTTTTGGGGGTCCTTTTGCTCTGAGAGTGACAATTGTCACTGGCAGCCCAAAGACTGTCTCCCCCTCAGTGGTACTTGGTAGACATCTCTGTCTGAATTTGAGATACAGAACGCTTGTTTACTTAACAGGTTTGGTTGCATGCTCTTTACAATTTCTACATTTGTGCTGCGGGTTGGACGCCAGACCTGTGCATAGGCACTGCTGTACCACTGGGCTATACCCCCAGTGAAAAATGCCCTCTGAGGGTTATTCTAGATTGTTCCACAAGGTGCCAACTGCGGGACTCTTGATTCTGTTTCCGTCACATTTCTCAGAGTTTAAGGTGTCCACCTGTTTCTTGGTATCATTTACATAGATGAGTCTGTTGTGGTTTCTGACTGGGCTCGCAAACCGCCCAACGACAGCCTCGCTGTCCTGTGCTGAGTCAGCGCCGGCCCGTGCACTCACAGGAATCGGATCCCAGTGGCTCCCAGATCGCCACCGCGTGTGCCTGACTCAGAGGTCTCTTTCAAAGCGGAAGTCCTGGGTTCTGTGCCAGGCTTCTCCCGTCCTGAACTGTGCAATGGCGTGGTCACTGGGGTACAGCGGAGACTGGGTGCTCCGCGGAGCGTGAGGAACAGTGAATCAGGTCGTGAAAACAGAGCGGGATCACCAGGTTGTAGGAGCGGCTGTCGCTAACCCGGGCTCAGCCACTTGGGCTCCTGCAGCTTCTCTTTCTCCAGCGTTAGGGTGATCATAGTAGTTCTCACCTGGTCACTGGCAAGAGGCTGTTCTGGAGATATGCTGCGTCAGCTTGAGAAGTTCAGAAGTTTCACTGAGAGGCTCAGCAGGGAGCCAGGTCCTCATTTATAAATATCCTCACCTATGCACAGAGATTTTGAGAGTGCTACACCAGCTCTGAGGGGTGGGAGGAGAAGAGGTTTGTTCTCTGTCCTTTTGCGCTGGCTGCTGCCCTGAAGCGTTGCCCCTGTGCCCTGCCACCCTGCCTTGGAGCCAGATGAGTATGGACTGAAACCTCCACAAGCAGTGAGCTAAATAAACCTTTCCTCCCTTCATTTGGGGTGCTGGGTATTTGGTCCCAGCAATGAGAGAAAAGTGACCAAGACAGATGCTAAAGAAAAGGGTAATTCACGTATTTGCAGTCTCTACAGTACAGAAAGCAACTCGGCAGCACGAGGTATTATTCAGTATTAGAAAACGTTTATCAACACAGTAGTTGCAGTCTGTGTAAGCTCAGGAAGGGACGAAGGCAGAGGAAAGGAGACCACAGGACCGCAGGGATCTCAGAGCCGCCACCTTCCTGCAGACAGTGGGAGACAGACATGCTACAGCCAGAGCTTTTGCTTTCCGGGCTGTAACAGGAATTTCACAAAGGCGCTGGACCCTGGTGCCTCCAGGGCACAGATAAAAAGGCTCTGAGCTCTAATGGAGATTCCATCTTCATTTTCACTAACCTTTAACAGAAATGGAGGGTCTTGTTCAACTTTGAGCATAGAAATTCCAAAGCATAGCTGAAGACCCGGAGCCCAGACTTCACGCCAGCAGGTACCGGTGTCTTCCTGGCACATCACAGCTCTCAGAGCTCTGCTCGGGTACCATGTATACTCACGACCTGCTTGAAGTTAGGGTGAAAGCCCGCATCAGGCCACCTCACAGGTGGTTTTTAAAATATTTGGTAGGTAAGCCAGGCGCGGTACCACACACCTGTTATCCTAGCACTTGGGGGGCTGAGGCAGGAAGATAACCTCGAGTTTGAGGCCAACCTGGGCTACAAGGTGAGTTCAAAGCCAGCTTGAACTGCGTAGTGAGACCCCGTCTCAAAAAATAGAGAGGAAGGAAAGAAAGAAAGAAAAGAAAGAGCTGGAGGGAAGCGAGCGCTGGGTCCAGAGGAGGGAGCCCTGCTGCAGAGCTGGCGCTGGCACATGCAGGCGGCCACTCCAAGGACACTTGTATCCGGCTGGGGACGCAGCTCAGGGGTAGAACTTAACGAGTGTCCCCTTGTACCAGGCCCCGTGAAAGAAGACAAGGTGGGTATTGGCTGAATCGGCAGCAAGTGTCTGTCCGCACCTCTCAACACCGGCCCAGGAGCAGGAAGTGCCGGATCTGGGCTGGGACACGGAACGACATAAAAACCAGTAGCAGCTGCCAAGTGGACACAGGTGGCTGGATTTGGCAAACTGACCCCAAGTCTGCGGGGCTGGCTCCAACCCCGGCCAGTGGTTACAGGGACCACACCTCCTGGTTCTGGGTTTGGCTTCCTACAGTGTCATCTTTCTCGTTTCTGTTTCCTTAAAGTGGAGAATTTCACGTGAAGAGTGTGTTGGTGAGAGCCACGACCTAAAGAGGTCAGTGATGATTGTAACCAGACCCTGCAGATACAGAATTTGTAGGCACTGTATTTAATATAAAATTGACTTTAAGAATGCAGACTTTCCAAATTAAAATCATTTTTCATGTGTGTTTTTAAAGTTATTCTTTTCTTACAGATTTTTTAGATTCTTTCATGGGCACATGTGTATAGTACATAAAGTTTTCCAAAGTATCTATCGAAAATGTAAATTCTAACTAATGTAAAATTTTAAATTTTTCTGAAATTTACCTAAATTGTATTACTTTTATAAAAATTAAAATTACTTGCAGTTCTAGGGGTTTGGTGTCGTTCCGTGTGATCCTGTTTTATTAACGTGTTTGTGGCACATAATAATCACCCTCACCCTTCGGACTTGGTGCTTACAAACTCCGCATCTTGACCGTTGAAACTGCCCCTGCCCCGGGCTAGTAAAGCACCAGTTTTTTCTGCTGCTCTTTCTTGGTTTCTTGTTTGGTTGGGTTCTGCTTTGTTTTGGTTTGTTTTTGCAGTACTGGACATTGAAGCCAGGCCTTCAGCAATGAGCTACATCCCCGGCCCTTCATAATTTTTTATTTTGGGGTAGGATCTCCCTAAGTCAGTTTGCCCAGGCTAGGCTCAAACTTTTGATCCTCCTGCCTCAGCCTCCCGGATGCTATGGTTACAGGCATGAACCACCACGCCCGGCTGGTACTGCAGTTCTTCTGCGGTGCACTATATATATATATATATATATTTTTTTTTCTTTCCCTAAGGACATGAGTAGTGGGAGTTGTTTAACACAGCAGCATTACGAAATCTGCATGCAGCTGTTACGCAGCCCGTGACTCACAAGGGCCTCCTGGACCCACAAATGCCAGTGTGATGAAGGAAGGGACAGTGGGGAATCACAGCGCCTCTGCCGAGGCTGAGAGCAGACACAGGAACCGGCGGCCTGTGGGAGGGCCCCGCGTCCTCCGCCAGGTGACCTGGGAGGACAGAGGGCACTGCAGAGGAAGCTGCTGGGGGCACTCCCTCCCTCCCGCTTACTCTGGTGATGTTACCACGCACAGCTGCAGTGACAAGCACCAAGGGGGCCAGTGACCCCGAGGCGGTCGGTTTCACTTACTGCAGGACCGTGAAGCCGGGGGTCGCCAGGCTGTTAGCTTGGGGAGACTCCGGTGTCCGAGCACAGAAGCTCCACGGAGTGAGCTCATCGGGGTGCTGGGAAGGAAAAACGTCACTTCAGAGAACGTCTTGTGTGCTCTGCCCACGGGTGGCCCCGAGCTAGCTGAGTAGGTAGTGTTGGGTTACTGAGAACCCAGCCTGTTAAATGTCACGCTGTGATGTCAGGCTCAGGGCACGCATGTAAATGAGCACTCGGGTTAGACGGTGATTTTCAAGCTCCAAGAGGTGATGGGCACCCTGACTTTTAGGGTGCGCTGCTCTTACGTGCAGAGTGTTCTGCAGAGTCGGGTCGGGTTGAGATCACAAATGTCACTGGCTTCTCGGCCCTGGGAAGCACACCTTGTGGGCATCCCAGGAACTTTTCCTGCTCTGGCTGCCCCCTGCGGTGACCTTACTGGGGGTTAGTGTGGGAGGTTGAGGAGGGACTATTGTGTGGTAATGGTTACTCTTTTCTTTTTTGGTACGGGCTATTGAAACCAGTCCTTTGTAGTTTGTATTTTGAGACAAGATATTGCTAAATCAGTAAGTTGCCCAGGCTGGGTTTGAACTGATAACCCTCCTGCCTCAGCCTCCCAGAGTGCTGGGATTATAGGCAGGCAAAGCTAGCTGCTACTTTCTTGGGTGTTCCATGCTGGGCATTGAGTGAAACACCCCAAGGTTTCATTTAACCCGCACTAACGCAGGGTAAGGGGTAGATCACCCATTACCCTCCACACTGGGCTCTACCTGAGCTCTGTCCCTCAGAGCCTGGATTCCATCCAGGTGGGGCAAAGCACGAACTCCTGCTGCCCGGTGTGTGTGTGTGTGTGATGACTCCGTGATAAGAGAGGCAAATCAAAGCCACACCAGGATAGCACTTCACACCTAAGAGGATGACGACAGCAATAGCGGGTTTTTTTTTTTTGTTTTTTTTTTTACCAGTACTGGGGATCAAACTCATGACCACATGCTTGCAAGGCAGGTGCTTATGCCGCTGAGCTAAATCCCCAGCCCGTTTTTTTTTTTTAATGGAAAAATTGCAAGTGTCCTGGGGAAAGTGAAATCACCACTCATCGCTGGAGGGAATGAGATGGCCGAGGCAGCTGTGGAAGGTACACTCGGTCCTCCCAAAGCCGAGCATGAGGGGCCGGGGATGCCGCTCAGTGGTACAGCACCTGCCTGGCAAGTGCAAGGTCCTGAGTTCGATTTCTGGTACTAAGAAATAAAATTTATAAAAAGCCATTAAAAAATAGTCAAACATGACTACTGCAAAATGTGGCTTTAGGGCTAGGCACACACTTGGGAAAACCGAACTCACCGAGCCATGCAGAGAGCTACACCGTGGCTCACTGTTCATGACAGTGTGATTCACAGGAGCGCTTAACTGAGGTGGCAGAGGCACAATAGCTACCCAATGGAATATTACTCAGGCTTGAAAAGGAATGAAGTACCAGCTCATGCCACAACGTGAGCAGACCTTAAAAACATGATGCCAAGTGAAAAATGCCACTTGTGGGCCACATTCGTGTGATCAATCTGATTGCATTTTTACTAGATGTCCAGAGACAGAGAATAGATTTGCAGGCACCTGGGGCTGGAGTGGTGCCTGACTGTGGGTGTGGGATTTCCTTTTGGCAGTGAGGCTCTGCTTAGGTTGCAGTGACGCTCGCATAGTGCCGTGAATGTACAGAAACTTGCTGAGTCATAAGCTTTGATTAAAGTGGACTCTTAATTTTTTTTTTCTTTTTGAGACAGGGTCTCCCTATGCAGTTCAGGCTGACCTTGAGCTCACTTTGTAGCCCAGGCTGGTCTCAAACTCGCAACGATTCTCCCACCTCAGCCTCCCGAGTGCTGGGATTACAGGCGTGAGCCAGACTTGATTTTTTGAAAAGGCTACGTTAGGGGCAGATCTAGGGGAGCCCTGGGGTCCTGGACTGCGTGGCCCCGGTTTACCTGGGGACAGCGGGGAGCCACTGCAAGTCTCTTAGGAGGACATCAGCACAGCAGAGCTCGTGTGGACTGAGGAGCATCGGGCACCACGGGAATGCCGGCTCCATCCCAGCCCCTCCTGCGCACCACCGGCCTCCCAGGCACAACTGCAGTGGGATAGAGGGTCATTCTTTCCTGTTTGGGTCCTAAAGAAACAGGTCTGCTGTGGTCCGAACACTGTTTTTGAATTTTGTTTTTGTTTTTGAGACGGAGTCTCGCTATGCAGATCAGGCTTGCTTTGAGCTCACTTTGTAGCCCAGGCTGGTCTCAAACTCAGAGTGATCCTCCAGCCTCAGCCTCCGGAGTGCTGGGATGACAGGTGTGCACCTCACACCGGGCTGGTCCAACCAGTGTTGCTATGATCTCCCCTCGCTAGGGATGCCCCTGGTCATCTTGCTGGGGCCCCTGGACACTCCGGGGACAGGCTTCTTTTAGAGCCCCCAGACCATCTTTCCACCTCCTCTCTGTCCTTTTCTGCCCCCCCCCCACTTTTCTTTGCTTTCCCTTCTTTTAAATCTGCGTCCCTGGCTTTCTAACGTCCCCCTCAGGTCCCCACTTCGCCAGCCGATGCCACCCTTGCCCTGCTGCTGCCTCTTCCCTCGCCAATCCCGCCTCACACAGAAGAGCACAGAAAACCAGCATGAGGCTGCCCGGGTTCCCCACACCACCTGGCTCCCTGTCCTGCTGGTCGGGACAGTCCTAGTGCCCTGTAAAGCAAACAGCAGGAAGGCCGGCTCCTGGGAGGCCTGGAGGGCCACGAGCTGTCCACTAGGGGGATGAGTGTCTGATGCCTGGCACATGGACACAGCGTCCGCAGCATCCTGGACCTTACGGGGTTCGGGGTCAGCGTGCACGAACGCATTTGGCTTCACTAAGAAGTGGTTTCATCCCAGGGATCCGAGCTAGTTGCAGGACATGCCAGAGGCTGTGACAGGGAGACTTGCTGAAGGGACACATGCTTTCCCAACAAGAGACAGCTGTTTCCAAGAAGCAGCCTCAAGAGCCACTGTCCTGGCAGGGGCTCTGGGGTTTTGGGGGCAGGGCTCAGGGAGGCTCCTCAGAGCGCTGGGGTGGGGACTTCCCACGAAGCCCCGCCCGGTGAGTCACAGCCGGGGCTGACCTGCAGCCCTCGGTGGCTGTGGAGCTCACTGTGAGCTGCCCTTCAGCAGCAGGAGAAGGCTCTCTCTGCAGCTCTGAGATTGCAAGGTTGGTGCCTGGGGGACCTGAGCTTGGGGGACGGGGACTGGGAGTCTTGGGTGTCATCACAGCTGTCTAGACTGTCCACCTTTCTGATCTGTGATAACTTCTCTTCAGTAGCCAGTGGTATACAGACTTTTTTTAAAAAATGAAGTGTTTAAAATTTCTTCAGGGCTGCGGATGTAGCTCAGAAGCACAGCACCTGCCTGGTGAGCGCAAGGTTCTGAGTTCGACTCCAGGTACCCACACCCTCCCAAACCCTCATATTTCAAAGTGGGCGCGTCCTTGTGGAAGGAAATGTGGTCATGAGTTGAGCAGAGAGGTCTTTCACAATGGTAGTGATTAGATGCTAAGTCACAGAGGAGAGAGGAGGAGGGAGAGGAGAAGCCCCTCGAAGGCCTCTGTTTGCAGGGCAGCGAGGACCTGGCCTTATTGCAGGCTGGAAGCTGATGCTGAGTGTGTGAATGTGTGAAAGTCCCCAAAAGTTTTTCCCACTGTCAGTTTTGCTTTTTTTTTCTTTTTAAAGAACATGATGGAAACGTCCCTCTTAGATCTTGGCAAGTGCACGAGGACCTGCATGGCTTGTCACCAACCTTTTTTTGGTACCAGGAATCAAACTCACAACCTTGCGGTTGCCAAGCAGGTCCTGATGGTGCTGAGCTAAACCCCCGGCCAGTCCCATCTGTCTTCTCCGAGAGCTTTCTAGGAACGCGCACGTTTCCCTCGTGACCCTCTGTTCCTCCCGCCTACAGCTGCTCCTGTGGGACACAGAAGTGGTGGTTGAAAGGCAGGTCATTCTGGGAGGAGGAACCTGGGAGGCCTCTGCATTTTGCAGGTGACACTCGTGAGGCGGCTTGCCGGGTGGCCTTCCTCCTGGGGTCCCTGCGAGGTCTCGTCATGGAGAGCAGCTTTCGCAGCACGCTGGTGGCGGTGCTGCTGGTCGCCAGTTTCGAGAGAACGAAATCAGTGCTGGACTCCTGCGGCAAGTGTCCAGCGGGTGAGTACCAACGTACCAGCTTGCTGACCCCTCAGGGTTAGCGACTTTCCAGTTTCTTTTTTTCTTTCTTTTTATTTCTTGTTTGTTGTTACTGGGGATTAAAACTAGGACTTTACTCTGAGCTACATCCCCTGCTTTTTTATTTTTACTTAGCAGTTTAAATTGCTAAATGACCCAAGTTAGACTGCAGCTTGGGCACTCCCTGCCTCCGCCTCCCAGAATGCTGGGATTAGAGGCACATGCCACTGCCCCTGGCTACCAGCTCCGTTTCTGCGGTCTTTCATTCATTCACTTACACAAATCTGGTGCATGCCAGGAATTAGCGGTGTGAACACAGCCCGGTCATTTGACCTGTGGGCTTGACCCCGTCAACTGGGGAGAATCAGCGAACCCGTCTCGCCTAGTCTAGGTGGGCAGGGAGGCTCCTAGGGCAGGGTGAGATCAGTACGCGGCACCTGGCAAGACCACAGGAAAGGGTTAGAGTTGTTTTCAAAGCCCTGTGCCAAGACTGGGGTGCAGCGGGCTATAAACGGGCAGCAGCCGGTTTAACCCGGCGAGGAAAGCCAAGTGCATGCAGACTTCCGAGCACTAAGGAAGGGGACCGGGCTTCTGCTTGACGTGTCGCATCACCCTCTGGGGTCCACTGGGAGAAACCGTTGTGTCTTATTCAGCAGGGAAAGGAAAGTATCTTTTTCTCTTGGTTTCTTTGTTATATTATTTACATTTTGTTATTTCTAATTCTGTGAAGGGAAGTCTTGTAAATGTGTAACTTTATTTTTATTGATTGATTGATTGATTGATTGATTGAGACAGGGTCTGGCTATGTAGTTCAGGCTGGCCTTGAACTCACTATGTAGCCCAGGTGGCCTTGAACTCATGGCAACCCTCCTGCCTCAGCCTCCCGAGTGCTGGGGTTACAGGCATGAGCCACCACATCTGGCTCACAAACGTATACCTTTAAAAAGTCAGTCAACAAAATAATATCGGTCGTTATGACATCTAGAAAACGGACCGTGCTTTTATTTTAATTTTCTTACAAACATCACACCGCCTTGGTGATGAGTGGTCATTGTCAAATGTCTGTTGTCTGCCTCTCTTAGGTACTTTCTGTGAGAAAAATAAGGATCCCCCCTGTACCCTCTGCCCTGCAAACAGTTACTCGAGCAGAGGTGGACAAACGGCCTGCGACATCTGCAGAAAATGTGAAGGTGAGGTTTCCAGGACGCGCCCTCCCGGGACTGCGGGGAAAACCAGGCTTCTGTCCCCTCTTTGTCAACTGTCTCTGCTGACATCTGAGGCATCCCAGCTGTTCGTGCCTCTGTCGTGGGAGAGCCTAGCAAAATCCTTTAACACAATAGCGGTTCCTGGGGTGAAGCTTTTTAAATTATAGGGGAGCTACTCAGTGGCTAAGGTGGTATCTTAACGGATTGCAAATTCAGTGCTGTTCCCTAAGGACGGACACACGCGGACGTGGAGGTGGAGGTGGTCTAACCCTCAATGTCACCGGGCTTTCCAGGTCTCTTCAGGACGAAGAAGCCGTGCTCCCCGACCAGCAATGCGGAGTGCGAGTGTGTCCCGGGGTTCCGCTGCTTGGGGCCGGGCTGTGCCAGCTGCCACCCAGACTGTGAGCCAGGCCAGCAGTTCACAGAAGATGGTGGGTCTGCTCCCCTCCTCCACGTCCCGTGTGTTAGGCGGATCCGTCCTGCGACTTGTAGAACCGTAAAGTAGTAAGTCGCTAACCAGTGTCAAGCCTAGCACTGATGCCAATAGAGATAATTGGGGTTTTTTTGGCATCAGGAATCAAACTTAGGTCCTTGTGCTTGCCAGGCTGGAGCTTGTACCAAATCCCCAGCCCTAATGCTGTATTTTAATAAGTAATAGATTTTAATTAGTAGAATAATATTTCCATTTTTCCATAAATGGTAATAAATTTGACATCAGGGACATTCGTTAATGGTCAGAACCATGCATTTTCCCCTATTATCTGTTTTTTATTTGGCTCTTTCTTTAAATTTTGTGTTTCTCATATAAGAGAAACCAGGTGCTATTTAAACTCCAGCACCTGATTTACTATGGTTTCACGCTGTATCCATTTTCCTACAAATGACTGAGCACACCCTCCTTTATGGCAGAGTAATACTCCATTGGGTGTCAGCGCCCCATTTTATTCATCTTTTCGTCTCCTGAAGGACACAGAGGCCACTTCCAAGGTTTAGCTATTATGCATTGTGCTGCTGTAAACATGGGTGTGTGGGGGTCACTGAAATATGATGTCTTTTTTTTTTGTACTGGGGATTGAACTCATGACTGTGTCCTTGAAGGCAGGCACCGATGCTGCTGAGCTAAATCCCCAACCCCCCCTTTTTTTGGTCTTTTTGAGAAAGGGTCTTGCTGTGCCGTTCAGCTGGCCTTGAGTGCGCTTTGTAGCCCACACTGGGCTGGAACTCACAACAATCCTCCTGCCTCACCTCCCGAGTGCTGGGTTACAGGTGTGCAGTTTGAAGTATGATGTCTTTAACGCTCTGAGGAGAACAGCTGGGTGACGTGGAGAGCCGTGTGTTTTAACACATTTTAAACGTCGACAGCCTGCGTGAAACCTAGTCATCTTAGGGTCTTGTTTCAAGAGCTGGTAAACCACTCGCCCTGCTGGTTCCCAGTCAGCAGCTCTCCTCCGCTCACCACAAGGCAGGGGACGAAATGACGAAATGCTTATTTTTACACGGCCGTGGTTTTCTCCAAGGCTGTGAAGACTGCTGCTGCGGAACCTTCAATGGGGAGAGAGGCGGCGTCTGCCGGCCCTGGACGCAGTACGTATCACCTCGTTTTGCTTGCAGAGTTGGGACTCTGGGTTACACGGAAGACAGAGTGTGGTCACTGAAGCTGTCTCACACTGCAGAGTGCAGAGTGACGGCAGTGTGGGGACCCTGGGGCGTCAGCGGGACTCGTGCAAGCAGACATTTTCCTCCGGAATAACGCCCAGGCACTGAGCTCCGATCTTCCAGCAGGAGCGTCCACAGGGCCTGCTCCGACCTCTGCTTCCCTCAGTCACCGCAGGGGCGAGAGCCTCGATCCCTCCCTGCAGTGTCACCGTGCTTGGGGCACGCGGCCGGCACAGGGAGCCAAGGAGCCATGGCCTCTGGCCAGAGGAGGCGGTGTCCACGAGGTCCGTGCCAGGCCACGACACCTTGTGAGTGTCCGGGGCCACGGTGGCACAGGCGCGGAGGGGACTCCTCAGGGATGGTCCCACGGCCGGCTGATGCTGATGACAAAACTCTGGGCTTTGTGTATCGTCTGTCTTTGTTCTTTTTCCATTTGATTTTGTTACTGGAAGATCATTTTTATTGTTTTACAGATACATTTTTATTCTCTTTTATAAGTGTTCTGGTTTGGTAACAGATTAGGATGGATGAATGGATTGACTGGCTTAGACAGGTTGTCACTGGGTCAGCCAGGCTGGCCTCAAACTCAGGAGATCCTCCTGCCTCAGCCTTTCTCTTTTTTTTTTTTTTTTTTTGTGCTGGAGATCGAACTCATGACCTCGAATTTGCCAGGCAGGCACTTATACCTCTGAGGTAAATACCTCTGAGGTAAATCCCTGGCCCCCCCGGCGTCAGCCTTGCAAAATGCTAGGATTACTGATGTGTACCACCATGCCCAGCTAGAATTTTTCTGAAGGTCTTGTCTGTCTCTCTCAGTCTCTCTGTCTCTCTGTGTCTCTGTCCCTCTCTCTGTCTGTCTCTGTCTCTCTGTATCTCTCTGGGCTGGGGATCGAATCCAGGGCCATGCACAGGGTAAGCAAGTACTGTACCACTGAGCCCCTTTTTAAGTCTGTCCACACAGACTGACCAGGGCACCAACAGAGTCTGTGTGGAAGGCTGGTTGGAGGAGGCCTCTGGAGGGCGGTGGGCTCCGGAGAGGAAGGGAGAAGGTGTATCAGCAGTGATGCGGGCGCAGGTGGTGGCGATGATGGCCACGGTGTCCTGCATGGGCCAGGCGTGACACAGTGCGACCCTGGGACGTGTCCAGCCACCTCGCACTGCCGCCTTACTCTGCAGAGGGACCCGAGGCTCAGACAGCGTCACTCGGGGAAGCGGCAGGTGCAGGTCGCGCCCTACTCTGTCCGATGCCCAGGTTGACCTGTTCCGTCCCCAACATGTGCCAGAGATGGGGGGATGGGAGCTCAAAGCTGGGGCGCAGGGGCAAGGAACTAACCAGGCCAAACCGCCCACACTCTGCAGCCACAGAATGAGGGGAACCCCGCATTGCTCCTCAGCCTGGAGAGAGGGGAGGGCCCGCTTGGGCAGGTGGAGTGGGGGTGCAGTGGGGACTTTCACAAGCCAGGTGTGGCCAAGGAGGCCAGATGGCGGGCGGTGCGCATTTTCATAATAGCTGCTGCTTGCCGGGAGGCTGGGCCGCCTCGCTCTGCCGTGGGCTGCTTCGTCCGTTAACAGATGTCAGAGCTTTTCCTTGGGATCCTCTGCACCTGAATGAACTGACCTCTTCCCCTTGACCTCCCTGAGGTGCTCTCTGAGTGGAAAGACCGTGCTCGTGAATGGGACGAAGGAGAAGGACGTGGTCTGTGGCCCGGTTCCAAGCGACTTCCCCCCAGGTACGCCCTCCCCACCCTCCTGGGAGAGCAGGGCTGGCTCTGTGGCTTCACAGCAGAGCAAACGTCCCTGCCTGTCCGACCTCCCACATCCCTGACCCCGACAGCACCTCCCTGGCATCCTCCTCGCTGTCCGCTGTCTGAGGGTCGGGACCATCAAGTGTTTGTTACTCAGCCTGCGGTGCCCGCAGGTGGGCAGTGCACAGTGACGGTCACCCCAGTGGACACACCACCTCTATGGGTGCCAAGCAAAGGCGGCTATAAGCCTCAGAAAGACCCAAGCTGCTTATGCTTTGTGACAATTTAAGGGTTTTTTTGAGTCTCTAAGTGTATGCTAAGCTAGCAGGTCGGGCCTGAGCTCAGGTGCTCACAGTGCAGATAGAAACCCACGTCATACCCTGTAAACACCTCCCGGCCGATCTCTCCTCGCGTCTGTGCAGGGCCCTCTCCGCAGTCCTTCAGCGTCCTCCTGGTGCTGACCTCTGCCATGGTTCTGCTGCTGCTGCTCCTCTGCGTGTGCCAGCACTCCGTCATCAAGTGGAGCTGGAAGAGGTTCGCGTACCTGTTCAAACGACGTAAGGCCAACGTGACGGCGTCAGCTGTGGGCGCCTGCAGGGCAGCAGTTGGTGGCAGTGTATTAATCCGCGTCCCCTTCCTGGGGCATAACGCTCAGTGCCTCAGATTTACAGGGGGAAAGCTTTGATCTGGTTCATGGTTTCAGGAGGTTCAGCCCCTGGTCAGCTGGGTCCAAAACGGGATCACGGCAGAGGCGTGGTGGGACAGGGGCATTCAGTGCGTGGGTCGGGAAGTGGAATGGGAGGACAGTGCCACAGACAAAGGGGCCGGGGACCAGCTACAGCCCCCACGGTCACCCTCCACGTCCACTGGACTCCCCCAGAAGTGTGCTTTAGTAACCCCTGGGCTCCCGAGCCGATCAAGTTAACACGGTGAAACTGAGCCACCACCTCTGGAGAAAGGGATAGGAGATCGTTTGAAAGTCACAGGAACAAGGTGAGGACGGCACAACGGTCAGGGAGCGGTGGGCAGTGTCCACAGGGACTGCAGCTCTGTCTGGGGACAGTGGTGGCGGTCGCAGCCTGGTGATGTGAGGTACAGTTAGCACCCAGTGACGGGGGCAGGGATGCTGCATAGGACAGAGCCCCAACAAAGAGGTGGCCCCCGTGTTAGGAGCACGGGGATGGAGGCAGCCTGGCTGTGGGAGTGCAGATCCCAGGAGTCCAGAAAACACGTGCACTGTGCTGCGCCCTCAGGGGTGTGTGTGTGTGTGTGTGTGTGTGTGTGTGTGCACATGTGGGAGAGCAGCTCAGTCAACATGAGCAAAGAGGACCCAGGGAGACGCGCTGGCCCCACCCTGTGCTGTGCCCAGGTGGCCGCGTCTTCGGCTCAGAGCTGCCATGAGAGGGCCATGACCCAAGAGGAGAGAGCTGGAAGGGGTCTAGTGCGACAGATTGGTGTAACAGCCGTCTCCATCGGGCAGGACAGGGTAATCACCAGTGTCTTCATGGCTCGAGTTGCACTGTGTCACATCTCCTGCCCAGCAGGGTCAGCACCCACCGACCAGAGCAGAGTGTCCATAGTGAGCTGGTCACTCATGCAGGGGCCGCCTGGCTTTGAGTTTTGTCATAGAGGATGGGATGGGCGATCACAGGTCAGACTTAGCAAGAGGGTTCATGTTCAGGAAGATCCTGAAGGCAAACCCCGCTGAGCTTAGACGGCGTTTACCTGGAGGTCATTAAAGACGTTCGAGGAAAGTTAACATCAGCAAGTTCTTCACCTAAAAATGCACCCCTGGAATTGATGGAAAGGTTCTTTTAAAAACCACAAAGAACCATCCAGAGAAACTCATCCATGTACAGTTGACCCCATAGTAAAATAAACTCCACCCAAGGTAAGAAACAGAATCTAACAAGCCCCCGGAAACCCTCCGTGGAGCCCTGCAGGCGCAGCCCCCCTCCGCAGCTGCTAACCACACTGAGATTTTTATAGCCTCCACTTCCTCGCCCTGAGCTACGTAACGGTTCAGTTTTCACAAGCTCGGGCTGCTTGTGAGCCTCACCCAGGCGGGATCCCACCTTCCGGACCCCTCATCTTGCCGCGGTCACTCCCGCAGCCTGGAGCACTGTCCTTTCCGGGCACCACTGTGTCACTGTTTACCCACGCTGACCTTGGTGGACGCGGGGCTGTCTGTAGTTCGGACCTCCGAGAGACAGTGACAGTGGGGTGTTGGAGACACTGGGAAACAGCCCAGGGTTTTACACCGAGCTGCAGCCTCAGCCTCCCTTTTTAAATTTTTAATTTTGAGACAGGGTCTCACTAAGTGAAGTGGCCCAGACGGGCTCAAAGCTTGCAACCTGCCTGCCTCGGCCTTCAGTGTGCTGGGCCGATGGGTGTGCACTGCCATGCCTGACTGGCTGATTTTTTTTGGTACCCACGTCTCGCACATGTTTCTGTTTTGTTGCTGTTAGTTTTTTAGCCTCTGAATAATATTTCTGGGGCATGAGGAGCACACATTTTGGTCCTTAGCAGACAAACTGTTTTCAAAGTGACGGCACCCCACCTCTCTGGGGGTACAGAGTTCCTCCAACTCTGCACCCGTTTTTACCCTGGGCATCACCAGACTATTTTTATCTCTCTGGGGCACAGAGTATATCTCAGTGTGGTTTTCCTTTGCATTTCCTGACTTCTAGTCTAGCTAGACAGCTTTTCGTATTTGATCAGCCATCCGGCCTCCCCGTCTGTGAAGTGCCTGCTGGATCCTGGGGGCATTTCCACAGGGTCATCTGGCCTGCCTTATGGAATTACAGGTCCTCTGCAGTCCACTGCAGACCTCTTTTCCCACCCTGAGGTCATTATTTCATTCTCCTCTCCACGTCACTCCTCTTTTGTAAATCTCCAATGTGTCCCCAAAACCCGGCTGCCAGGCTTCTTCCCGTCCCCACCCGCGAGCACACCCAGAGTTTTTGATAAGGTCATTCTCTTTCATTCATTCTTTTTTCTTTTTGAGACAAGGTCTCCCTATGCAGTCTGTGCTGGCCTTAGCTCACTTTATAGTCCAGGCTGGTCTCGAATTTGCAACGATCCTCCTGCCTCAGCTTCCTTCCAAGTGCTGGGATTACAGGCGTGAGCCACCACATCCAACAAAAAATGATTTTCAAGTATTTATGAGTAATTAGTGGTTGCAATGGAATCGTAATTCATTTTCTAAAACTTTAGGCCATTAAAAAAAAGCTGTTTTGAAACAACCGTAGATGCACAGAAAATGACACAGACAGCACAGTGAAGTGTCACATGCCCTTCATGGGATTCCGTCTCACAGAGCGGCACCAAGACCACGCACACTGCGTGTGCACAGACGTGCATCATTTCCTCACACATGGATTCATGCGGCCACAGCATAATCAAAACGCGGGGTCAGCCACCACCACCGAGGTCCGCCCTCTACCCTCGAAAAACTGTGAAACAAAAAACAAAACCCCTTTCGCTCGGGCGCACGCTCACGCTCTCCTCCACCCTCACCTCTGGGCAGCAGGAACACTTTCCACCTTCACGTGCTCATTTTCGGTGATCTATAAGTGGAATCATACAGTGTGTGACCTTTTAAGATGGGCTTTGTTTCTACCCGATAGTGCTCTTGTACAGTAGCCAAGTTACTGTGTTTCCACAGCTCATTCTGCTTGTGTTTGTTGTTTGTTTATTTGTTCCTTTGAGGCCAGGTCTCACTGTATTGCAGGCTGGTCTTGAATTCCTAGGTTTAGAAATCCTCCCGCCTCAGCCTCCCGAGTGATCGGTACTAGAGTTGTGTGCTCCCTCGCCCAGCTTTGGCTCTTTCGTTCTCATTTGTTTTGGGGATGTTTCTGATTACTTGTTGAAGCCTTTTTATGACGGTGCTCATCCTGGAATGCGGGTCCCCCAAACACAGGTTTCTGTTGATTGTCTTTTCCTTCTCAAGTTGAGACCTTCTTGGTGGTTTGTATAAGAGATTTCTTTTTATTGAAACCCAGACATTTGGAGGTACTAAGTTATGAGACCCTGGATCTAACTGAAGGCTTCTAATCCCTCAGGCTTTCTCTGACAGTGGAGGAAGGGGGAGACACCTTGTGATGCAGGGCGGGGTGGACATACAGGTTCTGCACGTGACCTCTTCATGTGGGGTCTTCTGGGTGTTGCCCGTTGTGTGGAGCGTAAAGCACCTACCAGGTCTTGACACCCCCTGCTGGGATGAGAGAGGGCCTTAGCCACTGTGAGGGGTGACCTTGTCACTATGGTCATTGTGAAGCCTGAGTGTCGGCCCTCCGGGGACGTTCACCCCAGTCAGGTGGGGAGAAGCGGGCTGGTCCAGCTCAGGGAGAGTGGCAGGGCTAAGCTCTGTTTGCCCCTTAAAGATGGGCTTGGCTGTGAGTCCACAGCTGTTTCTATGAAGTCTCTCCAGGGTGGATGGGCATGGACTAAAGGCTTTGATCTCGGGAGGCTGCCCATCTCCTGGTCCTGTGGTGGACAGAGCGGGCTTTTCTCGCTCTGGTCTTATCCTATACCAGTTGGCATCTCCAGGTTGTCAGCTCTCAGCTTCCGTTCTGGGATGATAGGAACGGAAAGGGAACTCAGGGAAGGCATCCCCATGCTGCTCTTTGGACCCTGAGGTTTGTTAGCTGGTCTCCCTCTCTACCTTCCAGAGATGTTCATTGTTTGCTATGCAACGTCCACAGTTTTCAGCAGTCCTCAGCAGCAAGAACAGAATAACATCTCCCCCTCCCGAGGCAGGTCTCTGTTTTACGGTTAATCTTTAGTACAGTTTCAAAAGCTGTCCCGTCGACATTTCTGCAAGTCTTAACCGGCTGTTGTGGGTTCTTGGAGTTAGTGGGCCTGTGAGGTCCTGTGGTTTGCAGTAATGAGCCCGTGGAGTTGGGATGGAACCTTTTACCTTCAAAGAAAGTTCCACCTAAGACTGGAAGTTGCTCAGCAATCACGAGCACTTCATCTGCACATGCAAAGGAAAGCCAGGAAGCGGATGCAGAATCGTGGCTTACTGACAGATGGAAGCAGTGGAAATAACTTTAGACTCGGAGCCATAGAATTTTCAGGAGAAACTGTCCAATCTCTGAGTAACCTGGAGACTAACGTACCATCCTAGTTTCTTGAAATTATAGTAACTAGAATAAATTTTCTAGTCATTGTGGAAAACAAAGAAATAAGTTTTTAAAGACTGATGGAATATTTGGCAAGAGGATAAAAACCTTAATCCTCAGGAAAAGCTGGCAGGTCTGTAGCTCTCCTGAGGAGAAGTTTCCGAGTTAGAGGGAGCCACGTTGCTGCTGAGCGCGGTCCTGCAGGGGTTACGGCTTTCACGCGGATAACAGAACGTAAGCATCTTTTCCTTTGTGTTCCAGCGTTCATGAAACCAGTACAAACGGCCCAGATGGAGGATGCTTGCAGCTACCGATTTCCACAAGAAGAAGAAGGCGAGTGTGAACCATGAGGGGAAACGCACCGAGCCGCTGGGGTTCTCTTCAGGAGAAAGAAACAAGGGAGAACCTGGAGAGGCCCCGCCCTGCTGTCCTTCTGAAATACCCATGATGACCTCCAACAGTGTTTTCTAATGTTAACGAACTGGGCTTTTAAAATGACCACTTTCAGCCGGGTGTGGTGGCGCATGCTTGTAATCCCAGCACAGGGGAGGCCGAGGCAGGAGGATTGCTGTGAGTTCGAGGCCAGACTTGGCCACACAGTGAGTTCAAGGTCTGCCTGAATTATATAGCAAGACCCTGTCTCAAGATCATCACAATCAGTGCTGGTGTGTGTCTGTACCATGATGTGTGACGATACGCCGTAAGAAGCAGTCTGCTTTCCACGGCATCTGTTATGTAGCGCCATCTGTGCTTCCGGAGGACAATGGTGACACCCCGAAACTGCAGTCCGGAACAAGACATCTGAGACCCAGAGAAAGTTTCAGAAAGAAGTCGGGTGTCTTTGCCAGTCTCCAGGTCCTCTCCACCCCTTCCCTTCTGCCTCCGTCCTTCTGCGCCAGGTTATGTTGATAAGCGGGGGACCCATCTCCGGCATCAGGCACACTCAGAAAGCCAACACCGGGGCCTCGCAGCCCAACCAGGCTGCTGGAGCAGGGCCACCACACTCCCTTCGCCAAGTCCAGCCACCATTGCCTTTGGGCGGCTAGGCAGGCTCCACATCTGTAAGTGGTTAAGCATCTCAAAAGAAGAATTTTCATGTGACATAAAATTGCACACAATTTATCAGCAAAGTTTCAGGGGCACGTGAGCACGTTTCCTTATTTCCAAGTCATCTAAGGCTGTCCTTGCACTATGGCAGCAGAGCTGCGGGCTTGTGTGAGAGACCTCGAAGCCTAAGACGGTTGCTATCTGACCCCTCAAGGGCCAGAGGCAAGGTGAGCGCGTCCATCTGTGGACACTTTCCTCCTCCTCTTCTGCCAACTCCTGGGCAGCCTCTCCTGGGAACTTTGCACTATCCCTTATTGCAAGACAAATGATTTGTTGGTCAGTGATGCACCCTACAACTGTATGACTTAGTCTTGGTTGTTTCTGAGCCTTGTGAGCCTCATCCTGTGTTGTGCTGAGCCTTCCACAATCACTGTGATAACTGGAGAATATATTTATAAGATTTGTCTGTGTCACGCTTGAGTAGATTCATTTCCTCTAGACCACACGCCATAATGTGTCAACCCTCGCTTACCAAGCGACCCCAGAGTTGCATCCAGGCTGTTCACCGCCCGCAGCAGTGCGGTAGTGGCTCTTTTATGCGTCTTCTGTGTAGGACGGCTTTGGGGTGACCTCCCCAGAGTGATGTGCTGGGCGCTGGGCACGTACTGCTCGGCTTCCTGAGCAAGTGACAGGAACGTGGATGTGCAAGGTTATGGGGACATAATAAACGAGCCTCCACCTCCACAGCCCACAGGAAAGAGGTGCATTCTCACATGGAGCCTGGCTCTGCCGCCGGCGTGAACCCTGGGATTTAGAGGGAGGAGCCCCTTCTGCTCAGAACATCAGCCGTCTTATGGGGAAGGACAAATGTCACTTCTGTTCACGGGTGGTGGAACGCAGACCTTTGGAGCCAGTCATGCAGCTCAGCTGGGTGTGACGGTGCAGAAAAATTTATCCTTACGCAAGCAGGGGCAGCTAAGACAGCTTTCTCAAGGTTCTTCTCGTTCAGGCCGATTTCGTCATATTGGGGTCACCTATCTCTCACTGCCCCCAATCGCTTTCGCCAACTCCGTGGGCACAGCATTTCCTTGATTCCTCAGAGGGTCCTGTCACATGCTAGAGTGCTGTCTGTGTTTCTTTTTTTGTGAAATGCTCACGCTTTGCATTTTAAAAACCTAATTGCTTATCCTTCTCTTTTTAACTCATAGAATTTCTTTAGCAGTCTGGATAATAATTGTCACATGTATGATAAACATCTTCGTTGGTGAGTTTTTTTAAAATCTTCTTAGCAGCATCTTTATCTCTCTAGTAATAAGCAAAAAAAATGTTCTTTATTGAACTGAGCTAAACTTGGATTTCTTTCTTAATGGTTGACCTTTTGGGTTGCCTGTTTTAGGAAATCCTTTTCTGTTCACTATGATAAAAATATTGGCTCACATTTTACTCTGCAAGTTTGAAGTTTTGTCTTTTGTATTTCAGTCCAACCTACCAGGAATTGATTGTTGTGTGTTTGGAAGGAAATGGTTGGATTTATGCCGAGTGGCTTTTTTTCCCTTTTTTTGGTACCAGAATCAAACTGGGGACCTGGTGCTCGCCTGGTGGGTGCTGTGCTGCCGAGCTGTGTCCCCAGCCACGCACTACTGGCTTCGTAGTGGTTGAACCAATTTTGTCTCTACTCTGTCGATCTGCAGCTTTACTGCTGTCACCTGCCAGATCCCCAGAAAGCTGTTTCCATGTGTCACTTCATTGCTGGTTCTCATCCCGTGTCGACACCTGCTGACTTGTTATGATAGCCTTGTTGTCATCTAACGTGACCTACACCTTCCATCTGCTTCAGCAATGTCTTGGCTACCCTGGCTCTTTTTTCTTCTTCTCTTCCTCCTCCTCCTCCTCCTCCTTCTCCTTCTCCCCCTTCCCTTTTTTCTCTTCCTCTTTCTTCCTTTTTCCCCTCTTCCTCCCTCTCCTTCTCCTCCTCCTTCTTTTGAGACAGGCTCTCACTACGCAGTTCAGGCTGGCCTTGAGCTCACTTTGTAGCCTAAGCTGGCCTCAAACTCACAACGATCCTCCTGCCTCAGCCTCCCGAGTGCTGGGGTTACAGGTGTGCACCCTGGCTCTTCATTCTTCTACAGAAATTTTAGAATCTACTTCCGAAAGATTTTTGTTGAAAAAATTTTTTTTCTTTCTTCCTTTCTTCCTTTCTTTCTTCCTTTTTTTTCTTTCCTCCTTTTGTCTCCTTCCTTCCATTTCTTCTTCTCTCTCCTTCTCTCTCTCTGTCTCTGTCTCTGTCTGTCTCTGTCTGTGTGTCTGTCTCTCTCTTTTCCTCTCAGTGCTACGGATCAAACTCAGGGCCTCACACAAGCCGGGAAGCACCCTGCCATTAAGCTGCACTTAGCCCTTGAGTGAGGTTTCCCTGCGCTGTAGTCCGTGTGTTTAGGGAGAGCTTTCGTCTCTAGTGAGTTAACTTGCACGGCGTGTGCACAGGTGCCAGCTTCCCCTCCACAGGGATGGCACCGCATTTCTCTGCTTAGTTAGGACTTCGCTAGTGCCCTTCAATGCAGTGTTTTAAAAATATTGTTAGTACATGTTTATAGAACATTTTACAGTCATTTTGGGGGACTGGTCCATATACATAATACAGCTTGTTTCTTTTTTAAAAATTTCAACACGGTTTTAGAAAATTTCTCCTGACAGAGTTCTTAATCTTTTGTTAGCTTTATTTTAGGGACCTTGCAGTTGCATTTGTCATTGTTTCTGTCTGTTGTTGAAGTGTAGGGAGGCAGGTGGCTGCTCCGGGGCTCAGCCTGTCTGTCAGACTCTCCTGCTGCTGCTGGTAAGGCCAGGCAGGCTCTCCGGCCGCCTTTACTTAGACCGCTGTGTTATTTACCATGATAACAATTTCTTCCTTTGTGGGGCCTCATTCCTTACGCTTAACTCACCGCTGGCCTCCTTGCTAGTGATACTCTGCTGGCTGTATTTTCTAGGGAATACTTTCAGGGTTTTCAAAAATCAAACTAATTGATCAGTTTGAGACAGCAGAGAAGCACCTGGCATTTCCCAAGAATACTTTTCCTAAACTTTTTCCTCCTGCTGCCTAAGGCTCCATCAGGCCTCCCAGTCTCTCGCTGGGGACACGGGTCTCCCCCAGATGACTGTGCCCCACCAGCCTTCTGATGACGCTGGCCCTCTGCAGCCATCCTCAGCGACACTCATGAGCAGCCCCTTCGCCTAAACAGAAGTTCTGCCCCAGTGCATGCGTGAGCCTGCCTTTTTCCTTTTAGAAAACCAACCTGCTCCGTGCCCTTTGCAGGTCCCCGATGCTGTGACATAATAAGGTCTCTCCCACCTGGCATGCTCTGGCCACTTCATGACATCTAGCACCCAAGGCTGTTGGCACTGAAGGCAGCTGGCTCCAGAGAACTGTGCAGAGCAACAGAGACCTGCTGGGAGCTGCCACCTGGTGCCGGGAGGAGTTCCCGAGCACGGCATGTGGCAGCTGGCTCTGGTGGCCTGGTAGAGTGGGGAGGGGCGGGGTTAAAGGCTGCAGTGCTAAGAGCTGATAACAGCTCGCATCCAAAGCTCAGGGTCGTTGATACTGAAAACATGTACACTTTGCCTACTCGTAATTCCTATCTGAATTGAACAAAAGAGCCCTCAGCTGATCCGTAACATTGTGGTGATCCATGAAGGGACCTACATAATAGGGGGGCCTGAGGAAGAGGCTTAAACAATGGAGACAGCCAATGCAGCCTGTCTCACGGGTGACAAGCAGCCACCGGAACCTTTGAGTGTCAGCCACAGCTGGCAGGTGTGTGGGTCGGGCCCAGCTAAGTGGGGTCCTGTGCAAAAGACACCACACCTGTGTGGTTCTCTCGTTCCCGTTGCTCACTGCTTATAATCTTTGTCTCTGCCAAGCAACTCAATGAATTCTAAAGGGATTTCTGCTCTTGTTCTTGGGTACATGGTGTCTCGTACTCTGTCGTCTACCACTCACATTCAGAAGAGGACTGGTCATGCCCCTGAGGGTTAGGGCACCCAAGTCAACTCAACCAAACTTTCAGTTTTTTAGCCACTAAGTGAAGCAGTCACTTTTGAGCCAAATTCCTGCGTTACTGCACCCACAGAGTTTTCCAATCTTTTTGTTTCAGCTAAGACTCTGGAAAAACTTGCAGAAAGCCAGCCACGGCACCACACCACTATTATTGTTTTGTGATGTAAATCTGGGTCATTATAACGTTGAATTGATTATACCCTGGAGTGTTTATGTCCATCCTCCTTATGACCCTGAGTTGGGTATGCATTGTGCCTATCATCTTAACCTTTTTACTCTATGACTTTGAGACAAGCATGCCCAGAAACCTGTTTTCCAACTGTCCCTCTTGAACTAAGACCTCACACTGAACAAGCTCGGGAATACACACTTTACACTGAGCATGCTCAGAAATACGCACCTCACACTGAGCATGCGCGGGAATGTGCACTTCACACTGAGCATGCGCGGGAATGTGCTCACTCCTGAAGTGCTTTCCCTGAAACGCGCAGGCGCTCAGAATAGAACCTGTGGGCTTCCCTTTCTCAGGAAGTTTGGCTTTGGAAAACAATCTCAGTTCTCCTGTCTGCTGCAGGTAGATATATTTGTTTCCAGCTTTTCGGCTCTGCACTGATCTAGATGCAAACCCATTGTATTTTGTTACAATTTGCCTCTGACTACAAACACAGAAAATCAGCAGCACATTATGCTTATCCAGAAACAGTGTTCATTACACGGGGGATGTGATACTTTCATCATAGTACATGGGATAAAATGTGTAAAAGTTATAAGGGAAAAAACACAGGAACTTGGAATGTGAGTCATCCCCTAATGCACAGCTAACACAGGAAGAAAATTGAAACTGGATAAAACAACCCCCCTTGGGGGTTAACTCAGGAAACACGATAATTCAGTTTAATAAAAATAAATGTCAATTGCTGTGATTGGTAAGTTTACAGCTTTAGGAACAGACATGTCAAAAACAGTTTCAAAGGGTTAAAAACAAGCCTAGGTTATTTCTGAAGCAAACTTTGACTTTTTGCTCAGTGGAAGATATCACTCTGATGGAAACTTTCGACACGAGGGGCGTCTGGCTGCTGCAGAGGGCGCCTTCCTCCTGCGCAGGGCAGATGTTTCCGTCCGTGGGTGGGTGGCCCGTGGGGCACAGCGAGCCAACGAGGTTTGGTCCGAGTGGTGAGGGAGAGAGTGCTTGGTCTGTGCTTTAGAGAGGGCGCGACAGTGGGGCACGGTCTGCTGTCTTCATAGAAAAAAAGCCTAAGAGGCTCAGACAGCTTGTTTTGCAAAACTCACAAAGGCCAATAATGAATAACAGGCCATTCTTTGTCAACAGTGGAAACTTCGAAGTTGGTGCCAAGGTGTCTTAAGAACTTAGCCTCTGGGACGTGTTTAGCTCCAGAAGGTGACTTGCTGGTCTCACGGTCCTTT